GATCCGCTTCGAAGAATCTACTTGACACCATCCGTTATTCTGGATGCAAAATGTTGATGGAACTTTGAAACTTGGGCTCATATCTTCCACCATTGTTGTCTAGTCTGTGTTGTTTTTGAAATTTAACGACACAATGCGATGTCCCTTTTTGTCATTAACCTTTCCTCTTTTCAAAATTTCTGTTCTAATTATCTGCATATGAGCGACTTGTCTCTACTGGAGGTCGTTCATTTACAATTATCAATCATTTATAATTATTGCGTTCTGTTTACGTCAATAGCGTTTTTTTTCTCGTTGCGGTTTCATATGACTTGAACAACTAATTGATCTTTGATCAGTTTTTAACAATAGACAATTTTTTTTCTAGTTTCGTTTTAGTAAATTTTTAATAATAAATGTTTAATTTCAACCTGTTTTTGGAACTTCACACAACCAAGGATCATGAGTTAGAGTTACAAGCTAACTAATTATTTAACTTTGTTTTTAAAGTTAAATAATTAGTTAACTTCTAACTCTAAATCATGATCCTTGATTGCAAATCCATTAATGTTCTTATCATTATAATTCAAAATCACTGCATTGTTGAGCAGTTCCTAATATATGTAGGTCAAGTATATCTTTTTGTATGTATTCTTATCTTAAAACTTTCTAGCCAAACTAAAAGTGCATTATCCATTTCATAATAGTATTATTTATCAATGCTAATATTATGTCTTTAATATAAATATTATTTTAAATCATAAATAAAACAAACAAATGCAAATAATGTTAATATTTTCATCGTAATCACAATTTATATAGTATTGATGTCAGTTTAAACTGGAAGAAAAACATATTTTAGATTACTACATGTATTGTTTTCAATATCCAAATGACATGGTTGATGAATTTACAAAACAAATTTCTCTAAAACAAAGTTTTATTTTTGCACTGTAAAAATAATAATAGATTTGTGAAATAAGATAATTCTCATAAAAAATAATTCATTATATTATAAAAGTTAAAACTTTAGTAATTGGTTTTATTGTTTAATTTCTTTCTCATAGTATCAGTCAGAAGCAGTTGAAAGTGAATGAAAGAAAGATAAATTTTTGTTTATCATAAGTTATCACATTATTGTGATAAAGAACTTATATAAATAAAAAACAAAGTTAAAATACACAACTTTTCAATTTCTATGTTTTTTAATTCTATAATACAATTTGTCTTATATGCTTAATTAAATTATGTAGTATAGTTTATATTCCTATTATTAAATAACATTAGTAATTTTTATTTAGTTAATTATTTTGTACATAATTTATAAATTTTGTGAATTTGTCAATTTTATAATTGACAAATTCACAAAATTTATGAATTATGTACAAAATAATTAACTAAATAAAAATTACTAATGTTATTTAATAATAGGAATATAAACTATACTACATAATTTAATTAAGCATATAAGACAAATTGTATTATAGAATTAAAAAACATAGAAATTGAAAAGTTGTGTATTTTAACTTTGTTTTTTATTTATATAAGTTCTTTATCACAATAATGTGATAACTTATGATAAACAAAAATTTATCTTTCTTTCATTCACTTTCAACTGCTTCTGACTGATACTATGAGAAAGAAATTAAACAATAAAACCAATTACTAAAGTTTTAACTTTTATAATATAATGAATTATTTTTTATGAGAATTATCTTATTTCACAAATCTATTATTATTTTTACAGTGCAAAAATAAAACTTTGTTTTAGAGAAATTTGTTTTGTAAATTCATCAACCATGTCATTTGGATATTGAAAACAATACATGTAGTAATCTAAAATATGTTTTTCTTCCAGTTTAAACTGACATCAATACTATATAAATTGTGATTACGATGAAAATATTAACATTATTTGCATTTGTTTGTTTTATTTATGATTTAAAATAATATTTATATTAAAGACATAATATTAGCATTGATAAATAATACTATTATGAAATGGATAATGCACTTTTAGTTTGGCTAGAAAGTTTTAAGATAAGAATACATACAAAAAGATATACTTGACCTACATATATTAGGAACTGCTCAACAATGCAGTGATTTTGAATTATAATGATAAGAACATTAATGGATTTGCAATCAAGGATCATGATTTAGAGTTAGAAGTTAACTAATTATTTAACTTTAAAAACAAAGTTAAATAATTAGTTAGCTTGTAACTCTAACTCATGATCCTTGGTTGTGTGAAGTTCCAAAAACAGGTTGAAATTAAACATTTATTATTAAAAATTTACTAAAACGAAACTAGAAAAAAAATTGTCTATTGTTAAAAACTGATCAAAGATCAATTAGTTGTTCAAGTCATATGAAACCGCAACGAGAAAAAAAACGCTATTGACGTAAACAGAACGCAATAATTATAAATGATTGATAATTGTAAATGAACGACCTCCAGTAGAGACAAGTCGCTCATATGCAGATAATTAGAACAGAAATTTTGAAAAGAGGAAAGGTTAATGACAAAAAGGGACATCGCATTGTGTCGTTAAATTTCAAAAACAACACAGACTAGACAACAATGGTGGAAGATATGAGCCCAAGTTTCAAAGTTCCATCAACATTTTGCATCCAGAATAACGGATGGTGTCAAGTAGATTCTTCGAAGCGGATCTTTCTGGTGACTTGAACAGGAATCGTCTTTCGCTTAGAGACAGACGAGAGACCAATCGGGGAAAGAGAAAAAAGGGACGTGGAGCCAATCAGAAGAAAACAAAATTAAGAACGGAGATTGATATAATCCTCAATCTTGAAGGGCAGATTGACTTTCCGAAAAACTGTGCATTTGCATACGGTTAGTCCAAGCAAAAAAGAAGTTTTCCAGCAGTTGCACCCGACTGGTAACCTGTGACTACGGACTCAGAACACCGCCGACACCGACTGATGAATCTCCTCACCTTCCGTTGCCCCGGGGCCTTCCTTCGAGCAACATTAGAAACACCTTCAACAATTTGAACCTCCAATTGTATAAAGAACATTTTTGTTCCTTAGTGTAAGTTTACTTATATGTTTAAAATAAACGGGTTTATGTGAGATTCTTGTCATCTGTGTCTTTTCCGCCACACCCACACGCGAATGACCCTAGATCGTCCTGACGAGGGATTAACGATTCCCCCTGGAAGTCGGCGAACTTACAGTTGTGAATACAGCTGTAAATAGAATAAAATAAATAAAAAACTTAAACCAACACCTTAATATTCGCTGAGAGATTTTTAATGTAACAAACATTTTCAATCTATTCGATAGATCATCTTCAGGTTAAAAAGAATATTTCTTAAATGGAACAACAATTTCAAAATTCAAAACTATTAATAACCAATAACATTTCCATTAATAAGAATAACTAAAACATTGTAAAGAAAAATGCATTAACGCAAGGGACACAGAGGGTCTCCTTCAGCTTGGAATATGCCGTTAAAAACTTACAAGAGGCGCATGAACTCTAGTATATTTTAAAGGGAATTATGTCTAGATAGATAGATAGTATTAATAATTGGTATGAGTAATATGTTATTTATTTTACATTTTTTGTATCATTTACAATGTTTTAGTTATTCTTATTAATGGAAATGTTATTGGTTATTAATATTTTTGAATTTTGAAATTGTTGTTCCATTTAAGAAATATTCTTTTTAACCTGAAGATGATCTATCGAATAGATCGAAAACGTTTGTTACATTAAAAATCTCTCAGCGAATATTAAGGTGTTGGTTTAAGTTTTTTATTATTTTTTATTTTTTATTTAATTCTGCTGGGTATGAGTGTGGTTTATAGAATAAAATAATTCTATACTTATCTAAATCTGAATATTTAAAGAAAAAATTAAAATTAATTAAAAAATTTGGTGAAACAATTCATAATATCCACAGAGAAATTGGAAAAAGGATGGATTGTAAATTTAAAAAAATAAAAAAAATTTGACAGTAAGTAAGTATAAACTTATAAAACTTACTTGGAATGATATAAGTATTCATATATTGGATTTATTAAGTCAGCATATAATTAGAATGATATTTAATAAATCCAAAATGGTCATACACATTTTAAAATACAGTGAATTACCATATAATGCACTCTCCTATAATGTGACAAAAAAATTGTGACTAGTACTCATACAAAATTCTAATTTTGTCATCCAGAGGTAAATGTTTTCTTCAACTTCTGGGCCTATGTTTAAACTTACATAAAATTGCCTGATAATGCATGTCTCAATAATGTGATTTCCTGTAACATGGAATTTATCCCCGTGTTGCACAATACTCTGCTGTATAATAAATGAAGAAAATATAATAACAAAATAAATAAATAGTTTGAAGTATTAAGTAGAGAGAATAGAAAACATTAGCATGATAACTAAGAGGATTAAGTAAAGAAAAGCAAGATAATCCTAACAATTGAAAAGTATAATAAACATAATAAGGTATTATGGAACAAGTATTATTAAGATTGAATGGAAATAATGTTAAAATTTCAGAAATATAGAAATTAGAAGTTTCAAAAATGGGGATGGTAAATAAACAGAAGTTTTTTCCCCAGTTGTAGTTGAGTAATGTTATTATGTAACTTTATATTTACACATTCTATTACATTATTTTAAAGTTCTAATAAGGGTGGTCCAAAGTCTATATTCGCATTTGTATAATGTAGCTTTAAATACACAGGAAGCTAGTACATCTCTATCACTATAAAGTTCTAATAAAGAATACAAAAATTAATTTTTTATTTTCTATTACAATATTAAAAATTTATAATGTACAATATTCATAAATATCGATAAAGTACCTTATAAAGTCACTATTGAAATAAATGTTAATGAAATGATACTCAATAGTTTTATATTTATTATTTTGATTTAAAATCAAAATTCTAGAATTAAAAGTTTTACAATTTAGTATTAAATTTGTTATTAAAATTTTTTAATCTAAAATATAACACTAAAATGTAATTTGTGATTTCAGCCAAAACCAACGAAAGGAAAAATGCGAATTCACTGCCTTGAAAATGTTGATAAAGCTCTACAATTTTTAAAGGACCAGAGAGTACATCTTGAAAATTTAGGATCTCATGATGTTGTTGATGGTAGTTCTAGACTTACTCTGGGTTTGATTTGGACCATTATCCTAAGATTTCAGGTAAAGAAAGTTTTATTATAAATTATAAAGTTAAAATTTTATTTATATATATTGTTATCAAAAAGCAAAATAATATATAAAAATATTACTATAGTTGCGAAGTGTATACTTCATATTTTAAATGTACAGATTTTGGTTATAATTAAGAAAAAACATAAAGATTTAATATAATTGTTTTTCAACAATAATTATATAATGAAATTTTAAAATAAATTGTTTATTTAGATTCAAGACATTACCATCGAAGAAGTTGATAATCAAGAAACAAAATCTGCTAAAGATGCTTTGCTATTGTGGTGTCAAATGAAAACAGCTGGATATCCAAATGTAAACATTCGTAACTTTACTACAAGTTGGAGAGATGGATTAGCTTTTAATGCTATCATTCACAAACACAGGTTGATAAATTTATTTTTTAAAATAGAAATTATGATAAAAATAATATATTTTTTTCTTTCATCTTATTTTAGTTTCTAATTCTTTTTCAGATAAGTTTTAATTTTTTTTTTCTTGATTGATATTTTAAAGTAACTTTCAGAAATTCTGAATTTCTCAAAAAAAATTTTAAAAGTTCTGGGTTTGAGATGTCAATCCATTTTGTGCATTTGTTCTTGATATACAAAGAATATTTGAAAGGATATATCTGATTTTTTTTTTTTTTTTTTGAAATTTTAAGATAATTTTTTTTTCATTTATTATATTTTATAAAGCTCTTACAGTAATGGAAAATTGAAAGATTAACATATAAGTTTCAATAATGCTGTTCTTTCAAGAATTTCCATAATCATATTGAGGTTTATGAAATAAAAGCAACACAGAATGATTATTCATAGCATCTGTAATGTGTAGAATTTTCTTACACTTTCTAGTTTAACATATTTATATTTACAGATATTGTAATGTTTGAATTATGGAGCAAATTATTTAAAAGATATATTTTGACAAAACATTATAACTGTTTATAGACTAAATTATTGTATTATTCTCACTTATTGTAATTTGTTATGTTCATTAAGATATAAAATCTACTTCATTATATTTGCAAAATGTGTTGTCACAAAATTTTACTGCCAATAAGAATTTATTACTATCAATGTTGGCAAAATAACAATAATATTTGAAGTAATATGTTACTAAATATTTTTTGTTGCTGCTGTATTCTTCATTGCAATACCAAAAATCATAGTTTGCAGTAACAACTGCATTGCTGATATTCTCTACTGCAGTATTAACTTAATTGGCACTGACTTTGGAAACAGGCAAATAATTTTTTATAAATGTACTAAACTTGTAATTTGGAGTATAATTTCTGTTCATTTTTAAAGCAGTAGTTTATAATAAATAAATAAAACAAAATATTTTTTCGAACTAAATTTAGACATTTGATTACTTTAAAAGTGAATATTTTTTATTTATTTTGGTTGTTTAGGTTATGCTGTCTTTCTGTTTAACTGCATCTTTAATCAAAATATAGATTATTGTGTTAAGCAATTTCAAGTAAATGAAATTAATCATAGATATTTAGATTTATTTGATTCCCCTCTCCTCTGTCTGTTATGCTTTATAACTTCAGGAAATTAATTGCTTTGATAAAGCAGAAAGAAAAAGATCTATTATGAGAAGAGAGTGTAATTAAGGCAGTACTGTACATGTAGAGTACAATATTTGAATGTATAGCTATTTGTGAATAGAACAGGTATACCTTTAGGTATGATTTCATGTTCCATTCAGTGTGTAAAATCTTTAATTAATAAATCTTTATAGCACTCAGTGATAAAACTGGTGGAAACTTTTTGTTTCCAGTCAAGTTCCATCTTTTCATCATGAGTAGTCAAAAATTACTACTATTTTCACAAAATTTATTTATAACACTTAAAACTATATTGTTTTATCTTAGTTTTGATAATAGAATTGATTTTATTCTTAGAATTTTTAATTGAAAATCTTTTAAATAAAATTTATATGTAGAATACTGTATAATGAAAATAATAATAAAAATATTAAAATAAAATTAACTTATTGTTAGATTAGCATTACAAAAGTTTTCAAGTAAAAACAATTTGAAAATTTATTCTAATTTTAATTGTTTATAGAATCATAAAGATTTTTTTAAACTGATAAATACTAATTCTGTTTGGAGAGTGAATTTAATATGAATTATAAATAAATATAAAACCTAAAACAGAGTCAACCTTATTTTACCTGCAGTTAGGAGTGCAGAATATTTTCAGGACCCAAAATTTTCTGAAAAATTATTGCACATAAAATAATAGAACAATCATAAACTTGGGATACAGTGGTACCTCAGGATACGACATGAAATTCGAACATATTTTTGCTCCATGTTACGAACAAAAACTCACCATATGATGTTACATTAGTTTGCAGCGCCATTTTTTATTCACTTCTGTTCATTGTTCTCAGTCTGCGTGTTTGCTTCGTCATGGAAGGATCTCGCTCGATGAAGGAAATCTTGAGGTATTATCAGAAAGTGACTGATTTTATTGAAAAGAAACATCCCGAAAAGGTTCACACTGGCCGTATTGCTGCTCAGAGTAATGACATTTGCCTAAGTCATTTTAGAAACATTTTAAAAAGTAGTCAAAGCCAAACGTCTTTGGATAGATATTTTACCAAACGATCTCTATCCAGTGAAAGTGCTGGTGGAAGTGAAGGAAAGAAAGCAAAAAGCAGTGAAAAAAATTATATATATATATAATTTTTTTTTTAATTTTATTCACTGCTTATATATATATAAAACAACACTAATTTTTTTATCTTTTCTAAGTTATTTTTTTAAGTTATTGTTACATTATGTTATGTAAATTAAGTTTTAGTATCATTTCCCTTCTCCCTCTCTTCCGCCACCAGTTTACACCTCCATCGTTGTCTATCCTCAAAGGTAAAGTGCATAAAACTACATTTTTTTTTTAAATCAATTATTATTCTATTATGGTTATTTATACATGTACAGTACAACTATAAAACACATTTTTCAGTGTTATCCTTACGATATTTATTTATTTTTTTAATGTACTACTTAGCTTTAATTTGAGTGTGTTTTTTGTATTGGAACGAATTATTTGGTTTTACATGTAATCATATGGGGAAAAATGATTCACCTTACAACATTTTCATGATACGATCTCAATTTTGGAATGGATTAATTTCGTATCCTGAGGTACCACTGTATAATACATTGATTAATAAAGTGGAAGTTGATGCCATGAATGGCCTATTTTTAGCACAGAGTGCTAATTAATGGAATTTTGATGTTCAGAAGGCAAAATTTCTTTATGACAGTATATAATTTTTTCCTGAAAGATTATTCTAAAAATTTACCAATTATTATTTCAGACTTTATTATTATTGTTATTTAAAAATGAAACTATATTTTAATGATGTTTTAAAATATATTTAGACATTAATAATTATTATTTTATAATAAATCTACAAAAAAAAATATGAAAAATAAAGGAAAATAATGTTTATAAAATGATGATAAAACTTATATTTATCTATTTAATTGAAACAATTCAGAAAAAAGTTTTTAAACAGTTTATTAATTCGCAAATTTTTCATGTGGAGAATGAATAACTGTTTCATTTTAATTTGAGCTTACACAAAATTTCTCTCATTAAATAGTGTCAAAGAGAGTTTTTAAATAAAAAAAAAGGTTTTTGGTTCTTTCTGAAGTTTTGGTTCCATAATCAGGATTAATTCATCTTTACTACAACTGAATAACTTTGTAAGTAGGCAGAAATGTAACAAATGACTGAATTGATCTGAAACAAAGTAAACAATGTTTCAATTTCACTTTTAAAATAAAAGATCCTCACACTTTTTGCAAATTTTCTCAATTAATGTCTAAGTTTAGCTGAGACACTACTAGATTTTTTGTGACAATTACTATAATATTATTTTTTCTACCACAAATTTTTCCAAGACTGTTTTAATTTCTGTTGACCCTCATTAGTGTGATTGGACATCTTCCTCACCAATGCTCAAAGTCTTATTTTATATTAATCATTAATTAAGGTACAGTTAAATTGATAGCAATAGTTCACTGTTTGATTTTAATTTAGTTTTCTTCTTAAATAGTTACTTATTTTAATAATGTTGTTTGTTAAAATTTGTTGTACTGTTGTTTAAATTATTTTTAAAAATTTATTTCTTTGCAGACCTGATCTCATTCAATATGACAAATTGTCAAAATCAAATGCCATTTATAATTTAAATAATGCATTTAATGTTGCTGAAGAAAATCTTGGTTTAACAAGACTTCTAGACCCTGAAGGTCTGTTATTACTAATATATTTTATTTACTTTGTAATTTTTATAAAAATTTTTTAAAATTTGTAAAACATCTTACATGATTAACTTCAGGAATATAGTTGAAAGAAACTGTACAATGTATTATTTTCAATAAAAAAAATCTTTGAATTTGTTTATTTTTCAGATGTATATGTGGATACACCAGATGAAAAATCTATTATTACATATGTTGTTACATACTATCATTACTTTTCAAAAATGAAGGCTGAAACTGTTCAAGGAAGGAGAATTGGAAAGGTATTTTTAATAGATAGTTTTTTGAACTTCATAAAATGAGATACTTTTTTCTAGACATATTTTTATAGATACAAAAATATTTTTTAAAATAGTAAACGCTGAATAACTTTTTTCAGGTTGTAAGTCAGGCAATGGAAAATGATCAAATGATATTGGAATATGAGACGTTAACATCAGAACTGCTGAAGTGGATTCAACATACAATATCCTCTCTGTCAGATAGAAAATTTGCAAATTCTTTATATGGAGTTCAACAGCAGTTAGCTGCATTTACCACATACAGAACTGTGGAAAAACCTCCCAAGTATGTTGTATTTTCATCTGTATATATATATTTTTTTTTTATATGCTTCATCTGAGACACCTGATATTTGCACTTGATTTACATTGAAGTAAATGTTAAAAGTTTAGTGTTTTAAATATCTTATTAATAGTGTAAAGTTGATAACATCTACACAAATTTTAATTTTCTTAAATGTTTTTTTTATCTGAACATTTATAAATAATAATAAAATTTGTAATAATATACTTGTTTTTTGAATCATCTTAGAATACTTTTTATGCCGTCATTAATTGAATTTTAATTTTACATTTTTATTTAATTTTTCAATTAATTTTATTATTTTTTCTTTATTTATAAATAATATAATACTTCAAAATTCTGTAATTAATGCATGAAAGAAAAACATAAAAATCACTGTAGAATTACAAAAAATTATAATTATTTTTTTAAGTATTAATCTTATTCTGTAATGAGACTTTTAGTATTTATACAAAATATAAAAATATTAATTTATCAAAAAAAAACTGCATGTTTTAATCTATATTATTTTGCAGATTTATTGAGAAAGGAAATTTGGAAGTACTTTTATTCACTCTTCAAAGTAAAATGCGTGCAAATAATCAGAAACCGTACTTTCCAAAGGAAGGCAAAATGATAGCAGATATAAATAGAGCTTGGGAACATCTGGAAAAAGCAGAACATGAAAGAGAACTTGCTTTGCGTGAAGAACTGATCAGGTAATAATTTAAATAATTTTAAGCTTTACATTTTAATTTAAAATATGAAAACAAAGGAAAAACAGAGCAAATTTATGTACATTTTCAGGCAAGAAAAATTAGAACAATTAGCTGCACGATTTGATAGAAAAGCAGGAATGAGAGAAACATGGCTTAGTGAAAATCAGCGTTTAGTATCTCAAGATAACTTTGGTTTTGATTTGCCATCTGTAGAAGCAGCAGCTAAAAAACATGAAGCCATTGAAACTGATATCTTTGCATATGAAGAAAGAGTCCAGGCAGTAGTTGCTGTTGCACAAGAACTTGAAGCTGAAAACTATCATGACATTGATAGAATAAATGCTAGGTAAATAGTGTGAAATTTTAGAGCACATTTGTCTTTAATTCCTAAATATAAATAACATGATTGATTTCCCTTCCAGAAAAGACAATGTTCTGAGATTATGGAACTACTTGTTAGAATTATTACGTGCTCGACGTACAAGACTTGAAATGTCTATATCCTTACAACAGACCTTCCAGGAAATGTTATACATACTTGATTCTATGGAGGAATTAAAGGTATGAGGATTCATTGGTGAACATAAATATTTTAATTGATTAAAATCTGAATTTTTAAGTTTATTTATATTGAAAATAATATGGAAATTCCATAAGTTATAACTTTGACAGACAAAAATTTCATTGAAATGAAATCTGATGTATTTCAGGAAAGTTTTGAATAGTTTTTAACAAATTTTTTAACTCTCAACATTCATTGTATTTATTCTTAATTTGCATCATATTTAAATTTTATTATGCTTTCCTGCATCTGCATTAGAAAGAAAAAAGATTTTTAGTACTAAAATTTTTGATATTAGATAGATTTTAAATTTAAATTTACAAAAAAGAATTAACAATTAAGTTATTAATCAACACAAGAAGAAATAATTAAAACTAGTTTCATTATTTCACTTTTTTGGATTTTGTGATAAAACTGTTAAATATCACTTCATTTTAGTAGTTTTTATATACTCAGTGCATTTTTGTTCTTACTATCTCTCAGTAATCTTTACTAGTATGCAGAGTATAAAATATTTTTGTTCTCAGTTGACATCTTTCATATTATATATTTCTGTATTATTATAAGATTTTCTTTTTTGATTGTGATTTTTCACTCCTTGTGTTTATTTGGTACTTTTTATATAATTAGTATTTTGTATTTTTGAGAGAAAAATATATTATAATGATGCACATAGAGATTTGTTTTTAATATTACATTCTGTTAAAGGTTGATCAATAAATAAAATAAGGTCTCTGTTTTTATAAAATTAGTTTGGAAAAAAGAAAGATTAATGTATCCAGTTTTAAAATGTAGTAAAAATTATTTATTTGAATCATACATATTTGTTTTTCAATTTAATTATCATTTAGAGCAATACATCTTTCCAAATATTCAACCCATTTTTGTTTCTTGCATGAAAATCTTTGTTTCTTTTGATCCATTCCCATAAATCAGCTTGAATTTTGGCATCTAATGAAAGTTATTGACTTTTTAACATTTTTAATTTGAAAATAACCAGAAGTCTAATAGTTCAAGATCTGGCTGTGAGTACAGTAAAGAATAACCTGTAACATCAGATTCTTAAACATCTTTGCCATTTCCTTACTGCAGTGTGGTCTTTTGTTATTACAGTTCAAGAAAAAGTCTGTTCTTTTTGGTTTACTCTATGAATACATCTTGGGTATTCATAAGGTTTAACAATACTTCTGCAAATTGATTGATTCTTCTTTTGTCAGATACTTTCTGTAATACTTCCTAATAGATACTTGCCCTTTCCATCCTGAAAAAATTGTCAGTGTGATCTGAGCAGAGGACAATTTTGAATTTCTAATGGATGGAGAATAAAGGTTATAGTATTACATCAACTGTTTCTTGTTCTTTGGTCATAGTAATGAGAGTAGATGTATATGGCCACTAAATGGTGGTGGCTATGAATTTCTATTTCCATATTTTGTAAAATGCTATAGTACAAGACTTTATTTATCAATTAGTTCTAATAGAATAAAAAGATTAATTGCAGGGATAAAAGTATTTGACAATTTAATTTTTTGAGGTACTTGGATTTCATAAATCATAATTATTTGATGCATGCACACAAGCACAATATATATCATATAGTTGTAGTTTTTTTAATTTACTACGCTATAATCTTGTCATATTTAATCATCTCAAAATCATAGTGTAGTGCAGTGGTTCCCAAAGTGTGTGCCGCAACTTCCTCACAGGGATGCCACGAAATGTTATAAAATTTTTATAATTATACTTAATATTAAAAATATTGGCTATTTCGTAAATTGTATTTGTTAGAATTTGACATAGGGCGCCTTGGGAAAATCTGGATTTAGCAAGGGTGCTGAGAATCAAAGTTTGGGAACCAATGGTGTAGTGCAAAGTTTCACTTTTATCTTTAATGATAACATATCAATATAATTAAATTAAATACATATCACTTTTATTATTTAAATGGTAATTCTGTTATTAATTATAATTATTAACACTTTTACTTTGAGCTTATGGTTAGTACTCTTCTGTTTTTATGCAGGATTATTCTTTAGCTCATCGTTTTTATTGAAAAAAAAAATTAGAATTTTGTAAATGTTTTAAATGTCATTTATATTAATCAATAGTATTACTTGTTACTAGCATAATTAAAATTTGTATCACTTTTATTATTTAAATGGTAATTCTGTTATTAATTATAATTATTAACACTTTTACTTTGAGCTTATGGTTAGTACTCTTCTGTTTTTATGCAGGATTATTCTTTAGCTCATCGTTTTTATTGAAAAAAAAAATTAGAATTTTCTAAATGTTTTAAATGTCATTTATATTAATCAATAGTATTACTTGTTACTAGCATAATTAAAATTTGCAAACAGGAATTATTATTATTGCATTTTAATTCATTTTTTGAATTAACAGGTTCGTTTGATGTCTGAAGACTTTGGCAAACATTTAATGGGAGTAGAAGATTTATTACAAAAGCATAGTTTAGTAGAAGCTGATATCAATGTTTTAGGCGAACGTGTAAAAGGAGTTGTTCAACATTCACAGAGATTTGTAGAAATTGAAGCAGATGGTAATTGTATTTTAATATTAATTTTATTTTAGTCTTTTCCCAAATAAAAATTAAATTACTTATTGTAATAATTAATATACTCGTCATAATAAATAATCATATATATTTTTTTTATTGAATACATACATCAAAAATAATTTGATGTTAAAGACACATATATAAAATTTAGTTTATATTGTGTGATATAACATTTTTATATATACAATATTTGTCAATTTGGCTTTTTATAGAAAAACCAGAATTTTATGAACAAAATTTGACACTTACTACTACATAAATTACTAGCATTTTTTAAGGACATGCTTATTAATTTTTAATTTAAAATTAATAATAAAGAATGAATATTCAGCTCTATATGTAAATAAAACTTATTTCTGTAATTCTAAAATGATTTAAGAATGACAACTTAGAAATGGAGAAACAATTGTTAATTATTACTTTTTATATATGAATTACTTTTTAGTTGACAGGACAAAATAATAGATATTTGATAAATATTTTGTAATAATTTGAAACTTTAAAAATAAATATAATAAATTAATGATTTGCATTATAATTGATTGAGTAGAAGAAAGTAATGAAATAGGTTCATAATTTTCATTAATTTTATAATTCTCTTAGGATATTTAAAATAAATTTTATCATTATTTTAAATAGCTTATCGTCCATGTGATCCTCAGTATGTAATTGAACGCATTCAGCAACTTGAGGCAGCTTATTCAGAATTGGTACAATTGGCACTTGATAGACGTAATAAATTGGAAGAATCACGCAAGCTGTGGCAATTTTATTGGGATATGGCAGAAGAGGAGGCTTGGATCAAAGAAAAAGAACAAATTCTGTCTTCTGAAGATATTGGTCATGATTTAACAACAATCCATCTCTTAATCAGTAAAAACAAAGTATGTTTTTTCAATTTTTATAAAAATTAAAATTTGTGTAAAATTAACTATATCAAATATCATGAATTTAAATAAAATTTTATTAATATTTTAAACAGGCACTGGAAGATGATATTGCAGTTCATGAACAACAGTTGGTAGCAGTTATTAAGGTTGGAGAAGATTTAATTTCAGCACAGCACTTTGGTTCAGATAAAATCCAAGAAAGAATTAGAGAAATTCAAAGTATGTNTTGTTTTTATTGAAAAAAAAAATTAGAATTTTGTAAATGTTTTAAATGTCATTTATATTAATCAATAGTATTACTTGTTACTAGCATAATTAAAATTTGCAAACAGGAATTATTATTATTGCATTTTAATTCATTTTTTGAATTAACAGGTTCGTTTGATGTCTGAAGACTTTGGCAAACATTTAATGGGAGTAGAAGATTTATTACAAAAGCATAGTTTAGTAGAAGCTGATATCAATGTTTTAGGCGAACGTGTAAAAGGAGTTGTTCAACATTCACAGAGATTTGTAGAAATTGAAGCAGATGGTAATTGTATTTTAATATTAATTTTATTTTAGTCTTTTCCCAAATAAAAATTAAATTACTTATTGTAATAATTAATATACTCGTCATAATAAATAATCATATATATTTTTTTTATTGAATACATACATCAAAAATAATTTGATGTTAAAGACACATATATAAAATTTAGTTTATATTGTGTGATATAACATTTTTATATATACAATATTTGTCAATTTGGCTTTTTATAGAAAAACCAGAATTTTATGAACAAAATTTGACACTTACTACTACATAAATTACTAGCATTTTTTAAGGACATGCTTATTAATTTTTAATTTAAAATTAATAATAAAGAATGAATATTCAGCTCTATATGTAAATAAAACTTATTTCTGTAATTCTAAAATGATTTAAGAATGACAACTTAGAAATGGAGAAACAATTGTTAATTATTACTTTTTATATATGAATTACTTTTTAGTTGACAGGACAAAATAATAGATATTTGATAAATATTTTGTAATAATTTGAAACTTTAAAAATAAATATAATAAATTAATGATTTGCATTATAATTGATTGAGTAGAAGAAAGTAATGAAATAGGTTCATAATTTTCATTAATTTTATAATTCTCTTAGGATATTTAAAATAAATTTTATCATTATTTTAAATAGCTTATCGTCCATGTGATCCTCAGTATGTAATTGAACGCATTCAGCAACTTGAGGCAGCTTATTCAGAATTGGTACAATTGGCACTTGATAGACGTAATAAATTGGAAGAATCACGCAAGCTGTGGCAATTTTATTGGGATATGGCAGAAGAGGAGGCTTGGATCAAAGAAAAAGAACAAATTCTGTCTTCTGAAGATATTGGTCATGATTTAACAACAATCCATCTCTTAATCAGTAAAAACAAAGTATGTTTTTTCAATTTTTATAAAAATTAAAATTTGTGTAAAATTAACTATATCAAATATCATGAATTTAAATAAAATTTTATTAATATTTTAAACAGGCACTGGAAGATGATATTGCAGTTCATGAACAACAGTTGGTAGCAGTTATTAAGGTTGGAGAAGATTTAATTTCAGCACAGCACTTTGGTTCAGATAAAATCCAAGAAAGAATTAGAGAAATTCAAAGTATGTGGGATCATCTTCAAGAATTGCAGTCAGCAAGAACTAGAAGATTGGTTGAAGCCATTGATTATCATCAAGTATTTATTTATCTACCAATTTTAATATTTATTATTATTATTTTTTATTATAATTAAATGCAAATTTTCTTTTAGTTCTTTGCTGATGCAGATGATGTTGATACATGGATGCTTGATATATTAAGATTAGTTTCAAGTGAAGGTGTTGGTCGAGATGAAGCTAATGTGCAATCTTTGTTGAAAAAGCATAAAGTAAATTTTTAATATTACAATACTTTAAAGCAGAGTATTATTTTTATCTAAAATAAAATTTTATTAACAATCTAGGATGTGACAGATGAATTGAAAAACTATGCAAATATTATTGATGCTCTTCACCAACAAGCAGGAAACCTTGGAACTCAGGTTTGAAATATTTTGAATATGTTATAAATATGAAATATTTGTGAATACATTTAAAATTTCAATAAATTCTTATAAAAATTTTAAGCTTGCATGCACACATATGAACATTTAAATTATTAATATTTTGTAAATCATTTTTTATATAGTACCGAGAAGCACCTGAAGTATTAGAACGTCTTGCAAGCATTGACAGAAGATACAAAGAATTACTTGAATTAGCAAAATTAAGGAAACAACGATTGCTTGATGCTTTATCTCTCTATAAACTTTTCAATGAGGCTGATGGAGTTAATCAATGGATTGAAGAAAAGGTCAGATATTTATAAAATATTGAATTATTGTAGCTATTGTTTAGTAGGTAGACAGGATTTTATTTTTTATTATTGTATTTTCAAGATATCTATATCTTGAAAATACAATAATAATTTTTAAAAAAGCTTTTTGATCAAAATTACATAAGTTTCAATGTTTGCATAAGTTTCAATGTTTCTGTAAACATTGAAACCTATGCAATCAAGCTAAGCTACCTTAGTTCAATAAAAGTAATCTATAAAACTTGGTGTTCATATAATTAAAACTTAATTTGAAATGGTATCATTAAATAGAGTGTAATATTATATCATCAAAATTTGAAATTATTAGACTACTAAAATTTACAAATTAAAAAAAGAACAATTTGCAAAAGAAAAAGGTTTATTTTTAGTAATTATAAATTTTGATGATATAATATAATATTACACACTATAATTATAAGTAATTTCTGAAAGTATAGTAGAATAATATGTAGTCACATGGAACATTTTGTAATAAAAAAAAATCTTACTGGAACTAAAACACAATAATATAAAAAAATAATGCCAGCAACAGTCCAGAACAGTTCTTTTTAATATTGGAATAACTGATGATGGCCGCTAAAATTGGTCGAAAACGTTCTTAGAGAATTAAATGTTTTTTGCTGGACTGTTATAAAGGCATTATTTATTTCTATTATTGTGGAACATTTTGTTTAACTTAGTAAGCAAATACATACTAATGTTTTAAATATGTTATTATTTGCTGCTGTTCTCTTTCTGTTGTTAGAAAATCTTGCAAATAATACTGTTTATGCTACAATATTGAACATCTAGTGTTTAAATTTGACTGCTTTATTTTTTAATGTGTATCATTTTAAGTAATTAAAATGAACCAATCATTTCTTTTATTTTCTAGCTATTTATTAATTTTTGTAACTATGTTGAATTGAACTTATATAAAAATAAAAATCTTCAATTAGAGTAGTAAAATTAGAACCTTTACATAATCTTCTGTTGTTGTTATATAATATTTTTAATGATCACATTTGCCATCTACTTCTAAGTAGATGGTAAATGTGATCATTAAAAATATATGTGTTTTTATTTTTAGTATTAGCAGCATTTGTATTAATTTTATTATTTAAAAACGTTATTTTGCTATTAATAGCGTATATGTTAACAGTTATATGTGTTTCTCTGTATTTCTAAGGTTTTTGATAAATTTATACCTATTAGACTTTTTTATTCTTTAATTAATGTTAATGTTTCATTTTAAATTGATAGTACTACTAAAATTTTTGATTGGAGATTAATATACAGTAGACCCCCCCTATAACGCTTAGATACGTTCCACGTTAATCGAATTTTATGTTGTAGGAATGATTAAATACATGAGCCAATCACAGCCCGATAGGTGTGAAGTTTACGGACTAAGGCTGTTTGAAAGGTTTTCTTCTATAAAATTAACCGATTCTAGACTAATTCCACTCAACATTTCCAAAACATGTATAATTTTTTGGGAATAATCTGTATAAACTATGCTATAAACAAAAAATTATAGGATTACTTACCGAGTGTGCACCGTTCGACTACGCCGTTGCTTAAAGCTGGTTTTCATCGCGGAACAGCACATTAAACGACGGCCGCGATTTCTAATAACGAATTTTTCGCATAAAAATAACTTGACCTTTGGAGACATCATTAATATAAATAATTTTTATGGCCGTTGAATAAGAAGTGTTTCTTTCACAAGAAATGTATAAAATTAGTGCTGTATTAGACTTACGGTACCTAATTTACATACTGTACAGACGATAATAAACTCAACTTACTAGCCTAAAATCTCCGTAGCGTGTTGCCAGGCGGCAGAAAGCATATATATAATTATAATAAAGTTACAATAAATTAAGTTAATATATAATTATATATACAGTACCTAATTTATATATAATTAATATATAATTATATGTACAGTACCTAATTTATATATAATACTGTACAGACGATAGCAAACTCAATTTAGTCGCTCCGTAGCGTGGCGTAGGGCAGAGGAAAGTAGTTCGGCTGCTCATCCACTATTGGTCCAGATTCTATCAATCTTGTCGCGAAACGAGTCAGCGACGACGTTTTAGGAGCTCCTTTATATGAATGTTGCTACAATATTTTCGCTACGTTATAGGAACACACATTATAGGGGGTTCGACTGTATATCAAAAAGTTTTTATTATCTATTTGAAGAGAAAAAATTTTTAAGACAATCTCCCAGCAACAGAATTTTAATTGGAAGTATTACATTACAAAATTAGATCAACTGCATTAGATTCAGCTTTTGTTTCAATTATAAATATAGTGCTTTTCAATAGTAATGAAATTTTCAAAATAAACTTTTATGGTTCAAGTTCTAGCTGTATCTTCAGAATTAGAACTATTTTTATAGAAATGTGTTTTAATTTATTATTTACTATAAAGTAAATATTCTGATTTTGAGTTTTTTAATATAAAATCAAAATTTAGCATTAAATTAGGGTTAACAATTGTAAAACTCTTGTTGAATTTTATTGAAATTATTATTTTCTTTTTATATAGGAAAAAATGTTGGATAGTATGGTTATGAGCAGAGATATGGAAGATATAGAAGTTATGAAACATAGATTTGAAGGATTTGAACAAGAAATGAATGCTAATGCATCAAGAGTTGCTGTAGTAAATCAATTAGCTCGCCAATTACTTCATGTAGAACATCCAAATTCAGAAGAAATATTAGCACGACAAAATCAAATTAATCAAAGGTAATATTTATATAAAACATGAATTATCAACTTGTATTTCAATGTAAATTACATGCTTAAAAATTTTGTGATCTTCAGTTGATTTTTAAAGCATGTTTACAGAGTGTTAATGGTAAACTCTATTCATTTGAATTAATAATTTATTTAAAATGGTGGTTGCCACCATTAACATTATTATTGTTTAATTAGAACAGAGTTTCTACACACCTAGAAAATCAGGGATTTTCTTTAGTGTTCAGAAAAAGTCATGGAAAGTCAAGGAATTTGACAAAAATTGTCAAAAAGTCAGGGAATTTGCCTCCTTGGCTGATTTGTTGACTTTTTTTGCTCACAATAAGGTAAACTATGTGTAGCTCTCTGCCGGCAGCAAGAAGTAATGTGGTACAATGCAACTTATGAAAAGGCATGCAGAATATTTTCAAGACCCAAAATTTCCTCAAAAGTTATTGCACACAAAATAAAACCATAATTTATGAACCAGTTAATAATAATAATAATAATAATAATAATAATAATAATAANAAAATTTTCATATTATTGAAATTTTTTTCCTACAATGTCCATTTTCTCTAACTTCTAAAACACTTCTTTAATTAAAATAATTTAACTTAATCTAAAGTTAATACAAAAAATTACATACATTTATAATTTAAATAATTTCATTTAAACATTTTAATTTTTTGAAATTATTTGAAATTTTAAAATAACACAAGTTGGGTCTGGGCATGGTAATTAATACTGGCTTTCTTATGGGCTTAGCCCCATCAAATGTCTTAGTGGATAAAACACTGGTAGTTGGTTGCAGGTTTGCATCTCACTAATGGGCTGGCTACATGAAGTTTTTCAGGTTTTCTTCACAAATCTAACACCTAAATACAGCCAGTTTCCTGTAAAATGTCTTCCTGGGAGTCATCCTTCTTAGCAAGATTTCCAGGTGTTGGTGCCGTCTCCCATAAATCTATCCATTCTGAGATACTGAACTGCTTTCTTTATTTGACATCATTGAAAGCATCTGAAAACACTGAAATTTTTGCAGGGTATGTAGTGCTAAATTGTAGAAATTTTCATGTCCAAGCAGTTGAGATAATTCAGATAGCAGATTTTTCAACAATGTGTACTCCACAGATTCTTGTGGATCTAGGCCAATATATTGACAGCAATGTATATAAATTAGGTAAATGGCACATCAAAATTTATTAAACAGGTCTACTAGAAGGTAAAGTTTGAGAAACACTAAGTTAATGCATGCCATTGGGATATTTTGTACTTAAAAACATGTAGTTCTTCCAGTTTTTCAAAAATTGTATTAAGTTTTTCTTTTACAATTTAAATAAAGATAAACTGCTGATAATAAGAATATTAAAACTATTACAGTGAAATGTTGATTTAATTTGTGGGGTGTGTATAATAGAAATGTAAATAATGCACAAGTACTATTCGTCAATTTTTATTTTTTATTTTTTTGATACTATACTTAAAGACCAAGTTCATAAGCAGTTCTTTAAATTTTGTAAACTATATCAAATTAGTTTAATTTTACATCAAAATATAAATAAATAAAATATATTTTGATGTAAATATTGTCAGCCAAATTTTAATTTTTACATTTTTTTTACAATTTTAGATTTAATAAGTAAGTATTACACATAAGACTTAATATTCTACTGCATTGTATGATTGTATTTTAAAATCACTCAAAATCAGACTTTATAAATTGTAATCACTTTGTATATATTTTTTTATTTTGTTTAATGTTTATACAATTATTACAGATGTTTACTTCTTTTACTGATAGTGCAGATTAATTTTAAAAACTAATATTTATTGTTTATATAAAGAATTATAAAATGCAACAGGGAGGTATTGCAAAATGCCAAAAGATTAAACTAAGTTTTAAATTATATAAAATACAGCAATCTATCAATTGTCATTTGTAAAATTTAATGCAGCTGTATTAATTATGCAGTATTATGAATTTTAGAGAAAAGTCTGTAATACTTTTAATATTCTAACATTGATTAAAATTTTTTTGAAATACAGTAGATCCCCCTATAAGACGGTAGATAAGTTCTGTTCTTTATGAATCAATTTTGTAGGAATCATAGTTTACGGACTACGGCTGTTTGAAAGGTTTTCTTTCATAAAATTAATCGATTCTAGACTAATTCGACTCAACATTNATCCAGAGGTAAAAATATTTTTATATAATTAAATTGTTTAAATATTTGCAATATTTTAATGTAACTACTTCTATTTTACCTAGGAAGCAGAAAGTATTCAAGAAAGAATTATGCAAATCAAAATTGTTTGGGAGCAACTTACTCAATTGGTAAAAATAAGTACTTTAAAAAATAATTTTGTGTCCTTAATTATTTGTAAAGTCTTTTATAAATGCAAAAGATATTCTATATATGAAATATTTAACATCAAATCTTTGTTTAGCTCAAAGACAGAGATGCTAAGTTGGAAGAAGCTGGTGACTTGCACAGATTTTTGCGAGATCTTGACCATTTCCAGACATGGCTAACAAAAACACAGACAGATGTAGCTTCAGAAGATATTCCATCAAATCTTGCAGAGGCTGAAAAGTTATTGAGTCAGCATCAACAAATAAAAGAAGAAATTGATAATTATACAGTAGATTACAATGACATGATGGAATATGGAGAGAAAATTACACAAGATCAGACTGATCCTCAGTACATGTTCTTAAGAGAAGTAAGTAATTTTAAATCAGCTTCTTTACGTCTATTCTAATTAAATTATTTAATTTCTTAAAATATTATTATTCAAAGCACAAATATTTTTAAAGATGCTCACTATATGGCATGCAGACTGAAAGAAGTTTACCATCCCTGATTTATATGATTAAACTATACTAGTATCTTACTTAGCAAATATTTGTACATAACTATATCATGCAATTTATATTGATTTAACAGAGACATTTTAAGTTCAAAAAAATATTTTTTCTTACTGCTTAAGAAAAATATTATAATAATCAATATTTTAAAAAACAAAATTTTATTATTATTATTTTGTTATATTATTCTTTGTAATATATAATAGAAACTTGAAACATTTTTTTAATATGTATATATTTAAGTTAACAATGAAATAATTATTTATTGTAAAAATTATCTTTGTTTTTATATTAAAAAGAAAAACAAGAAGGTATTATTGGTTCTGATTCATTAAATATTAAAATAGTCATGCCATTAAGAATTCATTAAACACATCTTAAAATATTTGATTGGCAGCATTCCATATTTTTTAAAGTAAAAAATTCATTAAATATTCCTAAATTTAAAAAATTTTGTTCATAAATTTCTTTATAATGTTAGGTTAATTATTAGATGATAAGAAATTTTCATTTATAAAAATATTAACTCTTTGTAATTATAATTTTTTATTCAGAGATTGAAAGCTTTGCAAGATGGATGGGCAGAACTTCACCAAATGTGGGAGAACCGCCAGCAACTTTTGTCACAGAGTCTTAATCTGCAAATGTTCTTACGTGATGCAAAGCAGACTGAAGTTCTTCTTAATCAACAAGAGCATTATTTGTCTAAAGATGAAACACCAGTATGTATGATAATTGCATGAGTTTTGATTTATTTATATTTTAATTTCTAAATATGCTTAATTTTTTTTTTTTATTTAAGACAAATCTTGAACAAGCTGAAAATCTGATTAAGAGACATGAAGCTTTCCTTACAACAATGGAAGCAAATGATGAAAAGATTAATGGAGTCATACAGTTTGCACAAAGACTCTGTGATGAAGGACATTTTGCATCTGACAAGGTCAACAAGAAAGCAGAAAATATTAGTGAAAGGTTTATATCATAAAAATAAAAATTTTAAATTAATAAATAGTTTAAATTTTAAAAAATTAAATTTTTTTGTATTTTTTTTTCTAGACGTAATGCTAATCGTGCTAAAGCTTTAGAACAAATGGAGAAATTGAAAGATGAATTACAAATTCAACAATTTTTGCAGAATTGTGAAGAGGTAATATAAAAATTATAAAATGACTTTACTTTAATAGATACAAATAATCAGAAGCTTTAAACAAACTGGTAGATTTTAAAGAAATAATTATATTTAAAATTTTCTCTTTGCAGTTGTCTGAATGGATACAAGAAAAATATATTATTGCACAAGATGAAACTTATCGCAGTGCTAAAACTGTACATAGTAAATGGACGCGTCATCAAGCATTTGATGCTGAGGTAGCATCAAACAAAGATCGAATGTATAAAGTGGAACAGGTTATTAAATTTAATTTTTTATGTTATATCTATATATCTAAGTGATAATGGACTGTTAAAAATGATAACTGAATATTATAACAAAGTAAAAAAATTGTTATATTAGAGATTACTTAATATATATTATGTTGTATACAATGCAGCATAGTGTCTCAAGTATTTAATATACTATAGGTATTCTGTGTAATAAAGTAGTGTTTGTAAATTATGTTGTATAAACATTATTTTCACACATGACAATTTATATAATCATTTACAAAAATCTTTGAATTTTATTTTTTCTCATTAAATACTTGATATTTTTAAAAATAATTTTGTAAAATAATGTTATATTCTCTTAGAAATTGAACAATAAAATTTTTACATATAAAATATAGAATCAAAACTTTTTGTTAAAATTTTTATATTTTATATTAATATGACTACAATCAAAAATATTAACTCTTTTTTGTTCTAATTTTATAATTAGCTAATAAATTTTATTTAGCTGTCCATTCATTATGTATTAATTAAAATTTCTCTGAATGAAATGCAAGTTAATATTCAATATTTTAACAATTTAAAATTTATAGGAAGGACATGAGTTGATGAAAGAGAAACCTGAAATGGCTAGTATAATTGAACCTCGTTTAGCAGAATTATCACAGCAGTTTGAAGCATTGGAAAATACAACTAAAGAAAAAGGAGAGAAATTGTTTGATGCAAATAGACAAGTATTGTATGAACAGACTTGTGATGATATTGATTCTTGGATTACTGAACTTGAAAACCAAGTATTGACAGCAGAAACTGGACAAGACTTGACTAGCGTCAATCTCATATTGCAAAAACAGCAGGTATATTCATAGCCTAAATATATTTAAATTCAAATATAATTAATTATTAATTTCATATTTAATAATTATAATATACTGGTTTAATTTTAATTATGATTATACTGAATTTAATTTTTAATTCATTAGACAATAGAAACACAGATGGCAATCAAGACGAAACAAGTTACAGAATTACAGTCACAAGCAGAATATTTAGAAAGAATGGATCCTGAAAAAACAGAAGAAATTAAAGCTAAAAAAGAATTTGTTGAAAGCAGGTAAAATATTAGAAATTTTAAATAATTATCTTACTGTTTTTCTTATGAAATAATAATTCAATGTGTTTTAAAGATTTCAACGTCTTCAAGCACCTCTCTTGGAACGAAAAGAACAGCTTCTTAAAAAGAAAGAAGCCTATCAATTCCGTAGAGATGTGGAAGATGAAAAACTATGGATTCAAGAAAAAATGCCTCTTGCAACTTCTGAGGACTATGGTAATAGTCTGTTTAGCGTTCAGATGTTGAAAAAGAAAAATCAGGTATATATTTTGTCTTTAGCTTTTGAAAGAAATATGCTAAACAGAAGTTTTTAATGATTGTTTTCAATATTTTTTAGTCTCTGCGAACTGAAATTGATAATCACGAACCAAGAATCTACAGTGTGTGTGAAAATGGTCGCAAGTTAATAAGTGAAGGTCATGAAGATTCAAAAGAATTCCAAAGTCTAATAGATGAATTAACTCATCTATGGGAAGAATTGAAGAAAGCTATTGACTACAGAAAAGAAAAATTATTAGAAGCTGAGAAAGCCCATCAGGTAGTTTATTTCTCTAATAAAAAATTATATTACATTCAAGCATAAGTGCTTATGTTATGAAATAAATTTCATAATGATAGATAAATTATTTTATAACAAAAATTCTAATATGTATATTTACTATTTATTACAGTATTATTTTGATGCTTCCGAAGCAGAAGCATGGATGAGTGAACAGGAATTATACATGATGGTTGATGATAGGGGCAAAGATGAAATAAGTGCACAGAATCTAATGAAAAAGCATGAAAGTTTGGAGAATGCTGTTGAAGATTATGCAGAGACAGTGAGACTACTTGGAGAAGTAGCTAAGCAATTAGTTTCAAGTGAACACCCTGAAAGGTAGCCTTATTTATTAATAATTTAGAAATTTTCTTTTATTGCATACAGAAATTTACCTCTGTTGTTGAAATAAAAAATCATGAATTATCTATTTACAATGATATTCCTACAATAAGAATTTAAAAATTCATATTTCAAATTATTCGGATATTAAATGAACTGATTAAAAAAAAATGTAGTTAAAATTGATATGTTTTATAAATTTGAACAACTTGAACTGTGATCATTGAAAGTAATATCTCCAAAATTTCAATGGTAGAGATAACAGACTTATCACACTGCTACTGGTATTCATACAACTTTTGTATTATTTTAATTGTAAACAAAATTTATTTTGTTGTAGATATCTAAATATTATGTATGACTGATGAAGGTCTTTTGTACTGAAATGCATACCAGTAATAAAGTTGCATTGTGATGACAGAAGTATCATTTTAATGTTACCAGTAGCAGTGTGATAAGTCTATGTTATCTCTACTGTGAGCCGCTGGGGAGGTTGGAAAAGCCTCTCCGATATGGCCACAGGTCGGTGACCTACTTTCTTGTCAAGGATGGCGTTACGTTCAGTTATGCGTTACGCGAGTGGAGGAGAGTCAGAGGGGTCGACGATAAGACGATGTACAGTCGAGTAAAAACACCATTCTAAACAAACAGGAGTTTATTAAACTAACTAACTAAAGAAAATTTACACAAAAATCCTTCAACTTCGTGGATGAGAGAGAGAGTTCACAATAATATTTCATACCTCTGAGATAATATCGGATGGATACTTCCGACTTAAATTTCTGAAAGGTGGTGCGAGGTGTGGCACAAGGTGGAGGAGGTCTGCGAAGGGGGGCCTTCGATGTCCGACTTTGTCGTTGTTCGTTCGATTGGTGACCCCCCCCGATTGAAGAAGGAGGAGGCTTTTTATACGTTTTGCCGTGAGACAAGTCGTCATGTGACCCATTGTCTTAGCAGGTGTGAGGTTAAAGGTGGTCCCGAGCTGCAATAGATCGTCGAAGTTGGACTTTAATCGTCAACATTAAGACTTGCAGGCGACTGCTATTGTTAGATGGCCGAATGTTTACGTTAAAGGAGAGAGTTGTAACTTGATACTTAATATGTTTATATAAGGGAGATAGTTGATTTCGTTTTTCTGACGATGGTTTTTTTCCCAGTAAGGTAATAAATTTATTCAAAATATGTTACAGTTGTTAAAATTTGGAAGAAAGAAAACAAATTGGGTTGCCCATGGGTCGGATCTCACACTACCATTGAAATTTTGGAGATATTACTTTCAACAATTTTTGAAGCTAAAAGCTCTTAGGGTCGAGTTATAAACTCCGTAACGTAACCGTAACCGTACCGTATCCATAGCTGTAAGCGTATCCGTATAGCATGGTTATAAAGTCCGTATCGTATTCGTATGGCCGTACCGTATTCCGTAAGAAAAGTTTGGATCGATCAAACTTTTACGGTAGCAATACGGAAAATTGACCAACTGCGCATGCGCTAATCGTAGTCGATGATGATAGTTGTTGCCAGATCAAGCAAAAAGTAACAAATTGATTGAAAAGTAACTTTTGACTGACAATGCTACTTCTAAATAATATAAAATTTTAAGATAAGAATTACTTTGGTCATAAAAAAATAGAAAAATGATAAAATGAATAAATAATTATAGTGTTAGATCTGGCAATAACTATAGATGATTTTGCGCATGCTCACAATGGACTGCTCCGTAAACCGTAAGAAGAGTTTGTTCCCTTACGGATACAGATAAGCCCTTACGGTAGTTTATAACTGTTGCTATAGATATCCAGTGTAGCAAACATTTACGTATACGGATACGGTTACGTTATGGAGTTTATAACTCGACCCTTATATGATATAATCATTACTTTTATTAAGCATTGGTAAATAATTTTATATTACCATGTACTATTATTCTTTGCAAAAGAAAGTATCATTATAATAATAATACCAATATATTTTGTTACAGTGACCAGATTGCCATCAGACAGTCTCAAGTTGATAAGTTATACGCTGGTTTGAAAGATCTTGCCTTGGAAAGAAGAGCTAAACTAGAAGAAGCTTTGAAATTGTTCTGTTTGAATCGTGAAGTAGACGATTTGATGCAATGGATTCAAGAGAGAGAGCTTGTTGCTGGTTCTCATGAACTTGGTCAAGATTATGATCATGTCACAGTAAGTTATTTAAAAATTATTAAATATACAATAAATTGTGCATTTTATATTTTGTTTACTTTTTAAGCCTAAAAATCAACTGTCTTGTTTTTAAGAAGAAATTTCATTTATAAACATTAATTCAAAATTTATGATTATTATTATTCGGACTTCACAAATGATTTAAGTCTATTTGGACGTTAATAGTTTTTTATAACTGTTCTCATAAATGACGTAAATTATCTGTTGAGTTAGTTGCATGAGTGGCAAAATTAAAAGTACATTGAATGTCCACAACAGGTTCAGCTAATCACCAATTTTAATTGTCAAGATCAAAAGAGAGGATTAGTGACAGCAGTCATTGGTGTTTAGTATCACCTTAATTTTGTCTTCCATATGCATTCACCTTTAGAATTTTTATGATTCTCATTTATTAATTTATAACAATTCGCATATACTGGACATTCTAAGTTCATTATTAATCTCTAAACTGAAATTGATAAAAAATATTGGTGTGATAGTAATAAAAAAACTTATGCAGAGCATAAAATAACTGAAAATCGAGAAAAAATTTTATCTGATTTTTCTTCAACGGCTGAATGCTATTTATGATTGTAGTCCTTAAATGTTGGAAGAGATTTTTTCTTGAATCTATAGAATTTGTAAGTTTTTTTTATTTCAAGATGCTTTTCATTCTAAGAGAGGTTTTAAGACAAAGACTTTGTTTTGTTTTCTATTAACTAATTTAGTATGTTGAAAATGTAATTCAGGAATTAGGTAAATTTTATGTCTTTTTGTTGTTTGAATTTCAAAATCTGCTGTTATATTTACTGTTTAATCTAATTCTTTTTCACTTTCATAGTTTTCTTGTAATGATATATTGATATCTTTTTCTAAAATTTCATTTCCTATTGCATCTTCATTAATAGAAATTTAATGCAATATTTTATTTTACGTCAGTAGAGATACTTTTCAATATTATAATTAATGCCTTTTTGAATTTTTATCAACACATTAGATCAAGAAATATCAAAGCAATCTTGTCTTAAAAATATTAATCTTAATTTTCACTATTTGGATAATGAATAATAACAAATATTGAAATTTATTTGAACTTACATTATTGTTTAAATATCTTTTCATCTTATCAAAAGTAAAGATAAATTTAAAATTTTACTTCATTTTTGTTATCCTGTTCTTTCAATGTAATATAAAACAATTTTTAGAATTCTAATTTCTTCTTGATTAATATTTAATAGCTTTGATGAAGGGTGTGTTTCATTTTAATGAATATTTTATGTTCTGTTTTAATTTATTATAATTTAAAACTTGGTTAGGTAATTTTTTTTCTAAAATTAAATCAATAATAATTTTGATGATATGGTATATCTTATTATATCTTGTAATAAATTACTGTAATGTACACAATATGATTAGCTCTAAAAAATTTTACTGAAATTTAGTAGTTTTACTGCTGAATTTATTATTACAGGAAATGAGCTAAAAATATTTTAAGATAATACAATATACAGCAATGTACAGTCTCTAGTAATTTACTGACTAAAGTAATATAATGCACAGTATCACAAAGACTGTGCATTACATTATTGCAGTTGGTAAGATAGGATGTTGAAAATACTCATTAATTTGTAATTTTGTTATGATTTCTCTATTGTCAAGAAATTTTAAATTGCTATATAATTTTTCAAAACATTTCTCCAAGTTATGCAAAGTTAGTATGGGTACATTCATAAAGTTTAACAACTTAAATGAAAATGATATTATCATATTCCTTACTTTTGCTGAACATTTGACATACAACAAAAAAATTGCTGTTTCTAAAATCAAGTTATCATTTTATCTTTTAATTCACTTAAGTTGATTTATAAACATCAATATCACCAGACACCATTTTCTTCACAATGCAAACAAACTCTTTCCTTGGTGAATTTTGTTAGAGTTTTGTTTAAAACAATGTCAACTTCAAGCATGTGCACTGAGCAGAATTATTACTTTACAACTAACTTGTTAGTAATTTGTTTAACTTTACAAACATACACTGTCTAATCAGTTGATATTATAAGTTAGTTATTTTATTTTTTTCTGTCTGATTTAAGTAAATTAAAAAATGTGTAGTGAATAAAATAAGATTTATGAGATTATTGAATTCCTAATTGGACCCAAGATACTTCTGAATATATTTAATTTTAGTTTTAAGCACATGTTATTAAATTAAAAAAAGAAATGCATTGCATACAAACTAAATAGAGAAAAATATAAAGCAATATTTCTGTTCATAATAATATTAAAAGTTATATTTATAATTAACTGTTTTAGTATAAATGTTTAAACAATACAGTTTTTAACACCTGATCTAATAAACACCTTATAATGGTTCTTTTATTATTTTACCTATTTTTAAAATATCTTAATTAATATATGAGTATACATTTATTCATGTGATATTTTTATTTTAGATGCTCAGAGACAGGTTTAAGGAATTTGCTCGTGACACTGAAGTAATTGGCACTGAACGTGTTGCCATAGTTAATGAGAGTGCAGATTTCCAGATAGCATCAGGACATTCGGATAGTGCAACAATTGCCCAATGGAAAGATGCATTAAATGAAGCATGGGCTGATCTGTTAGAATTAATTGATACACGCACTCAAATGTTAGCTGCATCTTGGCAGCTACATAGGTTCTTTCATGACTGTAAGGATGTCTATGGTCGTATATTGGTAAATATCAATCTAATATAAATTAATTTTGTCATCATCTAGATTGAACATGTTTTATTTATTTTCTATACATTATAGGAAAAACAAAATGCAATGTCTGATGAACTTGGTAGAGATGCTGTTAGTGTTTCAAGTTTACAAAGGAAACATGCTGGTTTTGAACATGATCTTCAAACTCTTGGCACAGCTGTAAGTTTACAATTTTAAATAAATTAATTTAAATTTATTATACAAAAACCAAAATTAAATTTGATTAATTAAATATCTATTTAAGGTTCAACAAATACAAGAAGAATCTGCTAAATTACAAACTGCATATGCTGGAGAAAAAGCCAAAGAGATAACCAATCGAGAAGCAGAAGTTGTTGGAGCTTGGCAAAAGTTGTTAGCTATGTGTGAAGCCAGGAGAAGTAAGTTAGCCGACACTGGAGATTTGTTCCGTTTCCTCAATATGGTTCGTGATTTGATGCTCTGGATGGAAGATGTTGTAAGACAAATGAATACATCAGAAAAACCAAGGTTCTTTCAAAATAACCTTCTTTGTGTTGTTGTTATATAAATTTTGTTCACATAATAACTAATATCTTAAAAATTTCAGAGATGTATCTGGTGTAGAGTTACTGATGAACAATCATCAAAGTTTGAAGGCAGAAATTGATGCTAGAGAAGATAACCTTTCAACATGTATTAATCTTGGAAAAGAGTTATTAGCACGAAACCATTATGCTTCAAATGAGGTAAATATACTATTTTAATTTTATTAAATCTTTTCTTTGTTATAATATTAAGTACATTAATTATTATTATACATTTTTCTTACAGATAAAAGAAAAATTGTTGGCATTAACAAATCAGAGAACTTCAATGATGGATCGATGGGAAGAAAGATGGGAACATTTACAACTAAGTAAGTAGTAAAATCAGAATATTCAATATTTCTATATCCAAACATTATTGTATGATATTATCTAACTGTTATATTTTTCTGTTTTTTTTAGTCCTTGAAGTGTATCAGTTTGCTAGAGATGCTGCAGTTGCTGAAGCCTGGTTGGTTGCACAAGAACCATATCTGCTTAGTCAAGAATTAGGGGTTTGTAAAATTATATTTCAGAAAGAAATAATTTTTTAATTTTTATGTTAAATTGTTAAATTTATTATTTTATTTTGTAGCATACTATTGATGAAGTTGAACAATTAATAAAGAAACATGAAGCATTTGAAAAGAGTGCAACAGCTCAAGAAGAAAGGTTTGCTGCTTTGGAACGGTTAACAACGGTAAGTTTCTATGTATTTCTTTACAAATTTTGCATTATTAAAACTGAAACAGTCTTTTTATTTATGAAACATTTAAATAAATTAAAACTGTAGCTTACTATGCATAAAAGTCAATCTATGAATTTCAATCTGCAGTGTGTTCTAGATTTGAAACAGTAAAAAATACCAAAACTCTAATATGCAGAATGATGAATACTGAAAAATCATGTCAACCATTTAATAGGAAGTTTAATAATTGATTTATTATTATTATTCTTTAGTTTTCTCTTTGCTTATTTTCTGTAATACTTCTATCTCCTCTAATTTATTTAAGCTTGAGTTGAAAGAACAAGAACGTCATTCTCGGGGACACGAAGATCGTCAGCAAGCGTATCACATGCTGGACGAACATATGAGACGTTCCGGCTATTATGATGGGGTGAATCTTTTTCCATGCTTGTTTGAACTTCTTGATTTGCATATCAAGAGAATTATCATTTCACTAATTTGCATGAAAATAGTTATTCTTATAACAGATTTAATCATGTTTGCAAATAGTGAAGGCATGGTAAAATCTACATTTTTAACAAAATTAACTTTTGAATGATGATTTTAACATCTAAAAGTACTAGAATTTTGTGTAATTTAATCATCATACCTTTTTTTACAGTAATAATTTTTTATTACTGTAATATTTTTTTATCAGATAAAGTTTAACTGTTTTTGAAATACTGTATATTAATACAAAACATCGTTTTAGGTTTTTACATCTATTATTCCTGTTTTTATTATATAAATTCACTTCATTTCAAAATATGTAATTTAATAAACAGTTAATAGTGTTTTGTAATAGGCAGTTCTGATTCTTTTGTCTTTCAGAAATCTTGTTTTATGATTCATATCAAATTGATAAAAGACAAATTGTTTTTGTTAAAGTAATTTGATATAAATCTTTTAAAGTAAATAGTGTAATTTTTACATAACTGATAGAATTAAATTTCTTGATATTGTGTATAATGATAAAATACTTCAATCAGGTTAGATTAGACTTTATATGAAAATTTGAATTCTTGAAATCAATTTTCTGTTAAAGAGAAAATATATAAATGAACATTCAAATACAGAATATTAATTAAAATATGATTTTGTAATTGCAAAATTATTCATTTTTCTTCAAATAATAGAGATAAATATCACTAAAGACATGAGATCTAAAAATTTTCATATAAAGTTGATTTTGGATAATAAACTTTAGCCTTAAAACAGTTTAAGTTAAATTTCTCTGAATTTTTAGCTTTTTTCTTTTTCTAAACAAAAATTTACAATAATAATAATGAAAAAATAAGAAATGTTTCTTCCATTTTATTGTGAACATACAATTAAATAACCATAAAATTACAATTCAGTTTTCTTCTTTGTATATTACAAAAAGAGACTGAAATATTGTAAGATAGCGAAAGCAAAGCAGCATCTTGATGTTGTCATCTTAGCATTTCAGTTTTTGACAGTTTAATGAGTTTAATGTTTTCAATTTATCCTTGCAGTTATACTTTGCTTTTCTCTTTCTTTCTGTTTACCATTTGTTAACAACATTGAAATAATATATATATATATATAGAGGGATTCTAAATTTTAATTCTAGTAAATAAATTTTTACCATTTTATTTTTGCATTATTTTATTCATGGTAAATTCATTTAACTATACATCTTTTTGTGATTGAGGAAAACAGTTTTAGTAGATTTAAAAATTAGAAATTGCAGATAACTATTGTGTATAGATCCAAATTTTTTTGTGAAATCAAAAACAATGCAATATTATCAAGTGACAAATAAATAAAATTAATTAAAAAATTACAACTATAAATTTATTTTTTAAAATTTTTTTGTAGAGACTTATATTTTATGATAATGATATAATTACGTATTGCCTCATTTTCTATAAATACTGAACGCTACACTTTATTTTTTCTGTTTTTTGTATTACCTATTCAATTTTGTACCACTTTTTTTGGATCAAATGAAACGAGAAAAAAAAATATTTTTAATATATTTGAGTAGAATGTTTTGTTACATTTTAAAATATTTTAATTAAGACTTTTTTAACTTGCATATCAAAAACAATATATTCAAATATTGATAATTAAAAATGACAGACTTCTATTTAGATAACTATTGGTTTATCACATATATACTCATGCATTTCATCAATTAGAATTGTGTTGGATTTCATTCAGTTTATTTATTAAATATTATTTTGATTATTAGGAAAAACAGCTTGTCTAAATCCACTTAGTTAATTTACAAACAAGAATTGTTTTAGATATTTTTTCCTAATACTTTGTCAATATATTTTTTTAGAATTGTTTTAATGAAGGCTGAACAACATTTTGTTCATTCATTAAAAATATATATATATATATATATCTTTATTTTGGTTTACATAAATATAACAAATGATTCTGTTTTTAAAGAAACATCAATTACTTAACTTTTTTTATATTCTGTAATTTTTTTATTAGATTAAAACAAAGCTCTGTACTAACTTTAATAGAAATTGAATTTTTGTTTTGTATAATTATAAATAATAATATAGTTTGTAATTGATTCATAATTTCTACCGCAATTTTGAAGATATTTCTAGTTTTGTTTTTAACCTTAGTTAATAAAAATTAAAAACTAATCTACTTTAATATGTAATATAGTTGAGAGATATTGTTACAAACTTGCTTGCTTTAAATCTCAGTTTACAGAATTAAAAACCCAATTGAAATGCAAAAGAATTGTGTTTTAAATAAAAGCATCTTGACAAAAACTCTATTGAAATTTTAGTTATTTAAGCTTTCTAAATATTTCCATTAACTTTTGATATAGTTTGAATTAAAAGAATTAAAACGTAGAGAAGAAGAACTAGAAAGACAGAGGCAAGAAGAACTAGCAAAAATGGTTCCACAAATTCCATTACAGGAAACACCAACTAAAACTGACAGGTATTTTAATTTTTTTTTTTAACTATAAAATGAAAATAGTCTCATACTATTAAATTAAGTAAAATTTAAATTTATTTTTTACAGGACTGATGGAGAAGTTGCAGTTGAAGCAGAACCTGAACAGCCAGTAGTGAATGGTGAACAAGAAGCGGCAGCAGAACCAAAACCAGAAGGTGAGTGTAGAATTACATTATACAAATTTTGGGGTAATTCTTTTAATGTTGTATTTACATTTTGTTGGATTTTGATGCTCTTTAGTTTCCTATAACATACCAATGAATTCTAAGAGTAAATATTTACAAATATTTTAATAGACTTTTCATTCTGTAGTATAAGTGGAAAGTCATCATCAGTTTTTGAGGTGGAGTGTTGCAAAGCCTCTTTTGCTTACAGAATTGCATTTGTTCTCAAAATTTGATCATTTGATTTTGATAACACTTTCATTTTCCATTAATTATGATAAAGAATTTAAAAATGTAATAAAAAAAAAAATAGAGGTCCACAACTTCATTTTCAAGATGCAAGTCATAGCATGAGCATGCATGACAAAGTGATGTCCCAAGGTTGTTAGCATGTCTTCTATGTCAAATTGACAATGTCCATGCTCCCTGAAGTAATTGAGCTCACCTAACAGAAAATGGCCATGATAAATGAACAGAATACAACAACAAAGCAATCAACACTGATTGCTTTCTTATTAGATTGTCTCTGCACAACCATCAGGTGCAAGGATGCCTCTTCCATGTGCAGCAAATGTAAGGATCTGTTTTTTCCAGGTTCCACTTCATTTCTATCACAATACATCAAAGTCATGCAATGTCCTAGTAATGTTTAATTGAAAACCTGAATAACTTTTTGCTATCCAGAATGCTTAAAATTTATTAGGAGATTTAAAGAATTCATTAGATTTTTTTTTATATTATTATTCTCTTTTACATAGTAGTGTTTATTTTAATTTGAATACTTCTTAAAACTTGTGATAATTCATTTAGATTCTTAAAATTTTTATTTAGGTAGTAAATATCCTGCATAAATATCAGTTGTAGTGAAGATGAACAAATGAGTTGCTTTGAGAGTGAACATAGACTGTTTTGAGCAAATTGCATATTATATTAGTTTATAATCATAGGATTTGTATTTGCAATTAATAAAATTCAAATATTTAGATTTTATTAATTTAAACAAGTTGGAAGGCCTGATGCAAGCATCAGGGCATACTAAATTACAAATAAAAATAATAATATGCCAAGTATTAAAATGTAAAAGTATAAAATAATTTATATTGTTAATTTAAATAATAGCTAGGGGGTGCCCTCTAGTGGCCATTTTTGGCATACCATGACAGAAAATTCCCAGTTTTTCAGCTTTATATAGAAGATTATTGGATTTTAGAGTAAAAATATTTAGTTGGGAAATACTTTATGCGGGCGGAGCTTGGCCTTTGTGACCCATGCGCCAAAAACCCATAACCTACCAACCAACACTTATGCATAAGTATAAATAATACAGTGTAAAGTTTTTATGTTTCCTAAATTTAATATATAGGATAATATTAATATAGGAAGGATAATTAATAATTGTTACAAATTAATGTAGAATTAATTCTTTTTTTTTTTATTAGAGTTAAAAAAGAAACAACCTTTTGATTAAAAGGAAAGATTTTTGTGTTTTATTTATCACTGTGAAGGATATTTTAATTTGATATGTCAATTGTGTCAAATTCCATGTTGATTTTGATCATTAAATTGAATGATAAAAAGTTAATTTACCAGATTATCAGTTTATACAGTATTTTAACTGTTCTATTCTGTATAATAAATTAGAACTTTGAGTATTTTGATAAATTTAATAATTAAATTTTAAAAACAAAAGAAAATACTTAAAAGCCAATTTAGATAGTGTATGCAGCCAGTTTTCCATCATATGAAATTGGCTCTTAAATACTTTATTTTCACACACAAGAATTTTGGTTGGATATACTGCAGTTATATTGGTTTTTATAATAATTATAAATTAGGTTAATAATAGAGCATACAAAGGGTAATAATGAAATTATAAGAAGAATTAAAATTTCAAATATTTAATTCCGTACAATCTGATTAAACTTTTAATTCAAAAGTTTCAACACTGGAGAGAGAAAAGAAAAAACAACGTTCTCGCTCCACTTCTCCGTTCGGTAGCTGGAAAAAGAAGAAACAGGTAGCTGAAGATATAGAAACTAGCACACCAGTGCCAGGTAAATTCAAAACAATAACTGCTTTGGGACTAAATTTTTCCTTCTGGTGGTGGTGTCTTGCAACACTGTAGCTTCATTTCCTGTTAAATATTATGGATAAAAGTGTGGGAAAATGTTGTACTTTGAACTGCTTTTGGATCTTTGGCATTTCAGGGCAATTTTGTGTTTAAAGATGTTTGATCTGCAAACACGGATTTAACTAAATTGTTAAATTTATTTTTTATTCATTAGAAAAGACAAGCCTTGCTGCCAGTCCCGTTGAGGAGGAATTGCAGTTTGAAGGTCTCCTTGTCAGAAAACATGAATGGGAATCTACGACAAAGAAGGCTTCCAATAGGTCGGATTTTCTATTTTTCTTAAAAATAAAATAAAATATCAGAATACTAATTAGGAAAATAATACAATTACAGATCTTGGGATAAAATATACGTTGTGCTGCGTGGTAGTCTTTTGTATGCTTACAAGGATCAGAAACATTTCAAACAGGTATTTTCAGATATGTTGTATGTTTTTATCTACACATGAATTAATATAAAAGTCATTTAAATATTTATATACAAATTACAGAAACCAGACAGCTATTATCACGGAGAAACACCCATAGACATGAAAGGAAGTACGGCCGATGTCGCCACAGATTACACCAAGAAGAAACACGTATTCAGGCTGAAGTAAGTACCAATTGTTGTCTATGCTTGTTTTTTCTACACGAGAACTATTTTTCTATATAAGTGAACACTGGTGACAACAAAATATTTTTGCATAACTGTTTTTGACAAACAAGCCTGTGTCTTGTTTGTTAAAGTTGTGTTTGAATTTACTTTATATTAAAACTAATGTTTATTTAGAATATTCAAAACAATTTAGAATTTTGTATGATCAATTTATATGTACAGTTAAGCAAATACAAAATATCCCCATTTCTTTCAGATTATCCAATGGTGGCGAATATCTGTTCCAAGCTAAAGACGAGGTAAGGCAAAATTTACAATCAAAAATGAGAAACGGAATAAGAGAATTTTTGCCAAAATAAATTTGTTCTTCGAATTTTGTAGGAAGAAGTCAATGTGTGGATAGAGAAGCTACAGGCCGCTTCCGGAGAGGGAGAGGGAGCGGGACCGTCACACTCCCAGACGCTACCGGCCAAGGGAGAGGGAGACAAAAAAGACGAACACAAACGCCACGGATTTTTCACACTAAAGAAAAAGTAATGGAAATTCCGTAATTTAAAACTTCAAAATAACGGCTTGCACCATGCTACAGATTAACTTTGTAAGCCTAAAACAACTAACATTGGGATTATGGGCAGATGCTTGGCTGCGACCTTCTCGGAATGAATTGCAAGAAAACTTTAAACAAAAAAGCTTGTACTTTTTAAAACAGTTCAGATCAAACTTATTTAATTTCATATTGTTAGTTACATTCAGGCATGGGTCCATCAACACATCTTGTCATCATCTAAAAAAATGCTTACTCTCCTTGTTTTCTTCTCTTAATACTTCTCTCTAGTATGAGGCTTGCATGTCATCAACTTACCAAACTGTAAACTTGGACGAGTACTATTCAAGTCTTGTGTATATTTAATTTTCTCGCTGTTGTGTGTTCTTGAAAAAAAAAATTATCAGATTTAAATGTACAAAGTTTTATTTCAGAAAAAAAAAACAAAAAAAAAAACATAGGTATGGTGTTCCAATTATTGCTCTACAGCAGGATAATAACCCCTTATGGTAATATTTTTATGTTTTTGTAGTTAGACAACCCGACGAGCGGCGAAGTATCCATCCAGAAAGAGTCTTTGCGGCAGGACAACACTTACTCTACAGAAAACAGTTGCCGGAGTATCTTCCCTTCCCCGTAATTTTGTTTTTTTTTTATTATTATTATTTTTTAGCTTGGTTCCTATCTTCCCTCTGTATACATCTTTCCTTTATTGTTAAACTGGTGAGGTAAATGTTATGTATATGTCTTAAATATTTCTGCTGTGATTGTTATAATAGTTTTGTACTGTAATGACATTTTAATTAAAAAAAAGAAAAAAAAAGGTAAGAAGATACAGATGGGGAGACTTTATTGCGTGTTATGGTAGTGTTTTCCCCCTTTATTTTTTGTTTTAACGCCAGAGGCCGTCTCTAAATAAAAGTTACACTTGCACGGTTAGAATTGTTTGTTTCCCCCGAGGAATAAAAATTTCCCGATATTTTATATTGTATTTTCATGGAAGAAAATAAAAGGTCGGGCACTCTTCCGTCATGCCACGTTTGGTGTTCTAATCTGGTTCGAGGGGGGAGAAGAAACAAATTGTCTTGTAGAAAAAAAACAAAAAAAAACATCTGAAATAAATTTATCATTCTATATATTAATTCAAACTTTCGATTGTTTTCCGTCTGTATTCGATCACCGTTACGATTGTTGTGGTATATGAAGCTTTGGAATATTTAGAAAAAAAAAACAATGCGCCTGTTGCAGAGTTTTATGTATAATAATGAAAGCTTTCTGTCCCACATCTCTGTTACTTTTGTATCTAGAAATAAATATCAGAGACTATATTAAAAATTATATATAATATATAAATCGTCGATATAAAAAACAAAATGTCGGTTGCACGCTGACGTGTTGCACCCGAAACCAATACTTTTTTCCCTTATTTTGGAAGCGCTGACGATACAGGTTCGTCATCACTACCAAAATCGCACCTTAATTTGTAATTCGGATGCATTTTTTCATTTAAAAGAAAAAAAGGAAAATAATTGTAGCCTCGAAAGATTTGTGAAACGTCGTCCAAGATTTTAATGGAAAAAATTATATATATATATATAATATACATATAAATAGCTTGTAATTAAAAAAAAAGGGTAAAATTTAGAAATTGGTAAAACGTGCATCTATTTATTGTAATTTTCTACTTAAAACCTTCTATAATAGATTCTTCGACTAGTTTTAAGAGAGAAATGTTCAGGTTATGGTTCATTTTTTTACATTTTAGTGCAGCTAAAGTTGGATTATTAACAACAAACGATATCAAGTTAAATCTTTAACAACAGATTTAAAAAAAAAAAGTTTTTCTTGCTTCTTATATTATTAGATTTAAAAATTGTTACAATTTTTACTTGAATTATTTTTTAATTGTTAAAGATAAACAAAAGATTTGTGAGCTATTGCTATTTGAAATAAATTTGTAGGAAATTTTAAATCAGATGATATTGAGAAAATAGTTTTGTTTTCAGATGTTTTTGTGAAAACGGTTTGCGCGCTGCCATCGTGAAAATTAATCTGGAAAATTTACGCCGTGTCCGTTGTAATTTCGGGAAACGAAAGGCGAACGAATTACGTGCCAAATATCCCCTAGTGTCGTTATTTCGAATTAAATTTGATTTCGAAATTTCGTAAACGGCCGTTTATTAGCTCGAGAAAAATTTCAGAAATTCCGATACGAAATACGAGTTTTTGTATACGTATGTTGCAAAATACACCAAGAATTAAATCTCCTTTTATCTTATTTATTCTTTAAAATGATCGTATAATACACTACACCGACTAATTATTCAATTCTTTATTCACCGAAGAATAATTTATATATAAATTCTTTTTAGATTAAAGGAAAAAACAAAAAGACATCAAGGAATCATTGAATGGAATCTAAATTTTCTCGGAACGGTTACAAAATATCATCGGATAATTTTTACAGGATTTTTTTCAAAATTAAATCAAACCTTTCTATGTTAAAGTAAATTACCAAAATATAGATATATTTATAAAAGGTGTTTATAATAAAAGTTATAACAATAGATTATCGTCGTCGGGAAGGAGAAAACTATTCTAATTATTTGCGGCATTTTTTTCTAACTTCGTTTAGCAAATTTGATTTATGAACTAGCTATTCGAGTACTGTACCATGTCAATTTGACGGGGTTATTTTACACGGAGTTACACGAATTCCCGACGAGCCGCTGTGTTATTTAACCAGCCGGCTCGTAAACAACACTGGAATCTTTAGCAAAATCTAAACTACAAACCAATTTTTAAACCACAGAACATATTTAAAATAAGAGAGAAAAGCGTACGCTCGAATCCAATTTTTTATTTTGCCTACATTATTGTCCGGAGTGAATTATAAAAATATGTTTTGAAACCAAGCCGAAGACACGGAGATGTCTTTGATATGCAAGATTAGATATGAGATTTACAATTAAATACCTGAAAGACGAAAACTATCCCCTTTAAATTACACTATGTACAGAGACGAGTGATGTTTTTCCCCCGCGTGTCCACGACGATCGTTCCTAATCTCACTAAAGAACCAAGTAAACTCCCGTGCTGCTACTCGTTCGGATAAATTTAGAAATGAAAGTGACGCTCGATTTTCTTTTTATATTTTCCTTCACAAATTCGTTTTCCTCGAAGGAAGAAAGGAACATAGCGGTTAGAGAAATGAGCATTTATTTCAAAAACGTCACTCGACCAACACACTCACTCTCTCATGTTATTACATTTCCCTGTTAAGGACGTGCTAGATCGAAGATTTTGGCAATCTCCGACGACGGCATCCGGACGATTCCTGAGTAGATTAGGCAAAATCTGACTTTAGGGTCTACGATTTCGTCGGCGGAAAGAAGTGCGATCGGTATTATATCAGAAAAACGACATAAATTATACATCGTGTTCGCGTCCCGTTTAAAACCGGTGCTCGACCTGGATGATTGTTCCAACGCTAGAATCTCCGTAAGTCAAATCTATGGTGCATAGACTTCATTGCGGGCAACTGGTCTGAATGGATGGATCTCCGCTTCTGAAACTAATTCCGCATCCATTAGTATTATCTTAAAATCCGCGGATACCGAATATTAACGAAATTTAAGCAAGCGTTACCTGGTTGGTGACGTAGATCCTGCAACTGTTATGCTGGGCGAACCCGAATGACTACTAGCACCGCTATCGATTTCTATTTGTAGCTGAAAGAAAAAATAATAATGCAAACAATTTTATAATTTGTATACGTGAACAAATTATGAATTTAAAATAAAATTAACCGAAACGTAATAATTTCGATACCCTTCTGTTGTACAGTACAGTACATTAAAATTTAAATGAACTTGGACAAAATTAAGTCATTTTTCTCGACCACCTCGTATAACTTTTTTGATGATTTTGATACGTGAATTACGAATTTTTCCTTTAGTTTAACCGAAATCGACGATGAAATCAAGAAAAATGCCATTTTGACGACGTCTATTTATGCAAAATAACGATTCTGTCACGCTTTTTGCCTTTGTAAGGCTTTTCTCCTCTAACTTAATTGCAACTGTTAACTCACATCGGTTTTAGTCCCATTAACTATTTTTGTGAAATTTATTTGAAATATCCAACGCGAAAGTAATGTTAAAAATCGAATTAAATTTCAATGTCCGAATATTAGTATTATGTAAATTTAATTTGAAAAAAGATTTTCCCAATTTACGATTAAAGAAATTGTGTGATTCCTTTCGGGTTTCGTTGATGGATCTTATATTAAATATTGATTGACGTATTCAATTGAATATTGTCACTTTGAAAGTTAATAAAACGGAAAATGAAACGTTTGAAATCGAATTAAAAAATATTCAGATTTGTGATGCTCAAGATGAATTTCTTGTTTGTATTTAATCATTCAATTACAGATTTTATTTCATGTTGCGTCCAAACTATTGCACAAAATTTAAATAATTTTGACCTGTCAAAACTTTTTTTAGCAATGATCTTCGGTGTTAGAGCTACAATGTAAAATCTTATTGGAACGATACATACAGTGGTGCTTCATACTTCGAACGGCCTACTAGAATGAGTTAAATTCGAAGTCCGAAACAATTTTTTTCCATTAGAAATAATGAAAAGCGAATTAATTCATTCCCAGAACCTAAACAATGCCCATTTCGATAAACTTAAAACAGCAAAAACGCATAATTTAAGATAAAAATAACACAATTAAAAGTTAGTTTTCGAAATACGAAGTACCACTCTATACAGGGTGCATAGGAAAGTCCCTTTAACCGGAAAATTCTTGCGAACGGAGAGAGCTACGGCTATGCAAGTGAGGTAACGGTATAATAAAGCGACTACGCCCGACCTAATGCAAACAACAGCAGCGCCCCTAGTGGCAAAATTTGGAAGATAGGCAGTGCAAATCGAAAACGAAAACAGATAGAGCAAACTTTCCAATTAGAAAGTTTTAGAGCATCAATTAATTAGTACAAAACGACATGTGGTTCACACGGATAAGATAAATTGTCGCCTGTACACCCAAAAATGTCCAAAAGCGATGCATGCCATTTTGTGGGTTAAATTTTACATACGTATACTGTCATGGCGGTACTTCATACTAGTCATTGATACTTGTGTTCAAGAACTATCGTGAATCAATAACTAGTGACGTTTGGCACAAGGCGGCTCCCCTACGGGAGGAATCAGTCGGGAGTACGAACAGTCGGGACCGCCGCCATGACAGTATACGTATCTAAAATCTAACCTGTCTTATGTCAATACAGTTTGATAACAATGGCGAACTTTTCTAACATACTCGACATTAACTCGTTATCACTGTGTGATAGTTTGCCTTTCTGTTGTTTTTTGTATGATGTTATCAAGAATTCCAAGGAATTTTCCGGTTAAAAGAACTTTTCTATTCACCCTGTATATGTATAATGTATTTTTCTACTTCTAAAGTTCAACATTTCATGTACCTGGACTTTGTCCCTTCTTTGATTGAACTACTTAACCTATTAAGTTTGGCAAATATTTTGGTGCATTATCTGATAAAGAGGCCTTAGTACAGCTTGATAAGCAAACTAATGATGTAGCATGTTTCAAATGAAATAAGATATGTCATTGTCTTGCTTATACAGCTGTATTAAAACTACCTTACAAGCACCCTCTGTTCATGAGTAGGTTGCCAGTTTAGCAGAACCCACCAGATCTAATGGAGATATCAAAATTTGATGTAATGTATGAAGCAAAAATTGATTTTTGAATAAATTCAAAATAAAAATTTTCCTATTTTTCATAGACATATGTACAATATTCCATAATTCAAACTGATTATTTTTTGTCCCCTCAAATTTGAGATTTAGAAGTTTTGCTGTACTTGTGAAATTATAAACATTTTGAATAACTTTTTTTTTGTTTATCCAACACAATGTAGTGCAACTTTTCTGTAGATCACGACACAGTTTCAAATTGATAAATTTTGCATAACTTTAAAACATCATTTGTATGCTATCATTTAATTTATTCTGTGAAGACAACAAATGAAAGCTTTAAAGTTAATTCTAATAAATTTTTGGAATAAATCAAAAGATCCAAAAATAAATCTAAATGTATATGAATTAAATTCATTTATGAGATTATCATTTTACTTTATTACCTCATCTTTTGTATCCTCATTTGCTATTCCATGCTCGGCTTCGTATTCTTGTAGGACCGAATCTAAATTGTATCGCCTACGATACGTTATGAAAAAACTTCGGACGTGCGCTTCTGTCTTGGTGCCTATCACCTCGGCAACAGCCTTAAAATCTCTTCCGTATTTTCTTATGCCTGAAAAAAAGGTTTAATTCATATATCCTAATTTTAAATTAATAATGCATATCATTAAATATGTATTAGTAGTCATAACACTTGTTTGAAAAAATGAGAATTCACACTAAAATTTAAGATTAGCCATTGAAAACTTTGCATAAGAGAAAAATTTTTTTTATGCTATCTTTTGAATTTCTGTTTGTAGTTGTTTAAACCTCTTATTGTAGTAATGAAGCATCTCAATTCCAGATTATAAAAGCCTTGTGCTGCATATATTTCATATCTTGCATTTGATAGGCTGCACTTAAAGGATCATTTGCTTCTTTCATTAATTCTTGACTATGTCTTAATTGCTTTTCTAGTTCTGACTGTGTTTTTATCTTTTCATTTTCCACTACTTTCCTCTTGAATTTTTCTTCTGCTTCTCATTCTTAGTTTTATTTTTTTCAAGATTCTTCCTCTTTTCTATCAGGGCTTCTCTGTTGTAAACAATCTGTTGTTATAGATATTTTTTGTATGCTATGATATATCAGTAAAACATCTTTAATAATTCTGAGAGCATATTCTAGTTTTGATGTTAGCATAGAATTTTTCTTAGAAGCAATTCCTTCTTCAATGAAAAAAGTTTATCAACAATTTCTTGAATAAAATATCAATAGTGCAGTTTTCATCAATTTCGCAAGCACGGGTATTTGAGAAGACCACTAGAATTTATTCTCATCAATAATTTAGACTAGTAAAAATCAATATGCTTCTACTTAATAAAGTGCTCTCCATTATCATTTGTTCCTTCATTCACAGTGAAATCACTCTTTTATAGTGCTTTTAGTATCATAGCATTTCTACACAATGACAACATTGTCAAGTTTATTGGGCTGCAATTTGAAAAAATTGTAGACCTATAAATTCCCACTGTCATCCTTCCATTTGTCCATCTTTCCTTAACCTTGAGAACAGAGATACATAGATGAAATCTGAGACCAGATATGGAAACCTTGGGGCAGGAGTCCCAATTAACTATATACAACTTTCATTAACTATATATCAAACTTACATAATGTGACTGTTATTACACTCACATTAAATAAGCACTTGCTGTTTAAAGGCAGCTCCACACATTTGATATATGCCAATTGCCAAATAATTGACTATTCATTCCCTTTGATTTGGCATAATATACTGACAAGGAGTGAGAAACTGCAAATACCAAATATTAGTCACAAGTCTAATTTGGTTTTGCCAAATGTTTGTTAACTATTCAGCAAACACTAAATGTTGGAGTCACCTTAAGATTTGTTGTTATGGAAAAATAAACAAAGGCTGTATCCAAAAAGATGATAAAATTCTGGAACTTGCTGTGTCATGTCTCTTGCATTGTTAAGAAAAATTTTTTAATAAACCATTCAAAGCATGGGGAATTTTCTCAAAAATATAGGACAAAATGGTAAATCTACAGAAAATTTAGGACTACTGTAATGCCAATACATGTATAATAGAACACATATTTTACATGAATATCTACAAATTAAATTTATTTATATATTCATCTTAATTTAATATAAATGTTTAAATAACTTTTATACTAAACACTTTAAGGATCTAATCATTTGATTATTCGTTCTTTCAAAAAATTCAACAAATTTCTGTCAATTATCAAAACCTCCACAACCGTATATGCATCCTTTACATCATCTAAAAATACAGTAAATGAGCTAATGCAGTTAATTGTCTAAACCACAGGTTCTCAAACTTATTTCGATCACTGCCCACTTTGAGATTTAAAAAAAATCTAGTGCCCCCATATTTTTTAACTTATCTTTTTACATTACCATTTGTTGCATATCTTAAAAACAGTTATTGCAAATATAATGTTTAAACATGCATTATTATATGGATAGGATAGATAGGGTGTGACCCATATCCTATTTCTGAGATCAAAGAATGTTTCAATGAGAAGAAATAAAACTCATATTTAATCATTGAGCCTTCTACTGCACCCTGAATGCCTCCAGCGCCCACAAGGGCGTATTATCGCCCACTTTGAGAAAGGATGGTCTAAACTGTTACATTTCTTATAATATATCAGTGTTAAAAATGCATCCATAATTTAACAAAGATTTTGTACAAAAAGAAACATTTTTGAAAAACAGATATAAAATTTTAATGTAATTCAGAAAGACAACTATCATTCAAATGGGTAATGTTTTAATGCAATCTCTCAATAGTATATTGTAATAGAACCAAGCAATTATTTATTGTGACATCACCAAAATACCAGGCTGCAATTTTTCACGTATTTAATTTATAATATGTGCTTGCCACCTCAAATTAGTAGTGTGTCATATATCATACTTTTTCTTTAAGAATAGAGTCATGCCAGGCATTTATCTAATACCTTTCAGGGAAAAATTTTTTAACTGAAATAAGATGATTTCTGGTTTGTATCAGAAGTTCTTATATAGTTAATTGGGACCTCTTACCCTAAGGTTTCTATATCTGGTCTTGTGTTTCATCTATCTAACTCTGTTCTTGAGATTAAGGAAAGATGGACAAATGAAGACAGTGGGAATTTATAGGTCTACAATTTTTTCAACTTTCAGCCCAACTAATAAATTATTGAGACTGACAATAATGCCATAGTTCAGTGTTTTGCATTACACAAAAAAACAGTAACAATTTTGTTTGACACCAGTGTGTTAATTTTAAGAAATTTTAAGGTAAGTTTGACTGAAATTATTAACTGAAGATTTGTTTAAAGTGAGAAATAAAGTAACAGATAACACAAGAAGGTAGACCAATCATTCTATATTGGAAACAAACAAGATAAATGCTTGAAGTGATTTGCTTCAGAATGATGATCACTAGTTTTATATATAAGAATTTATTTTTCTTCATAAAGTAAGTTATCATTTTCTATATTTTTAATTTTGGTTGTGTGTAAGAACCACTGTATAAAAACTAGAACCTACAGATTTTCATCAGTGGGACTGCAGCATTACTTGATCACCACTTTATAACACAACACAGGGTGATTTTTAGAAAATATTTTTTTGAAAAGAATATACTATACAAAATAAGAAATATGATAATTTAAATAGTAGATAATTTTTTAAGGTATTTTTTCCAAAATTAAAAGGTTTAGTTTACAGTAATAATTTTTTTCTTTGAAGTTTTATACAAACTTCTGATAAAAGCACATACTAATGTTATTCGAATAATAGTCACAACTATTACATTTTGTCACAACAGAAACGTGTTATGTCTAGAGATAACTATCTTAGTGTGTGTTAATCAGATGATCACCATCTTTGAATTCATCTCAAAATGTTTAAATGGGAATGGGGTCATAAAATACATGAAACAAGACTAGTCGGTGAGAGCAGTTCACTTGACACCTAGATTATGACATCTTTGACTGATTCAGTCTCTTGAAACTTTTGCTGAAATTGTGCAACTGATATAGTATGGTACAGGGTTTATCAATAAAATTCATTGATTATGAATCAATGAATAAATCAATGAATAAAATCATGTGCAATGATTTTATTCATTGATTCATCCACATAAACTTTTCTCCCCCAATCAGAATGATCTGGATTTCATTCCTCATGCATTAGAGGCATCCCATCATTGTTTTATCACACCTGGAAAAGGAGAAACTGATAGATTCATTTTTTTCATAACTTTTCACATATTAAAATTAGAGGAGAACAAGTGCAGCATTGCATTTAGCCCATTTCATGTATCACTAGACCTCATACCCATTTAACATTTTGAGGCAAATTCAAGATGGTGACAACCAAGATAGTGACCATCCCATAGACACAATGTAAAGGTGGTTCTTTGTAGGCATAATATGTTTTAATCATGACAAAATTTCCCCTGTCCAACTAAGTTCAATTTTATTTGGTGTAAAATGAGTTTTGATTCACGCTGTATTTTAAACTTCATATTTTTTCTGCAGTTATTGTTCAAGGGTAATTATTATTTGAATAAAATTGGTAAGGCTGTTTCAATCTTACGAATAATTTTAATATTTTAAATCAATTTTATAGATTAATAAATAAAACTTCTGATAATACATTCCTGCATTAGTCATATTATATTTATATCATGATTAAAATCTAACTTAAAAAAATATTCATTAAAATAAATGATTATAAAAATAACTTTAATTAATAAATAAAAGATTTACCTTGTATTGCTAATAATAATTCTTCATTTGCCCATCTAGCACTAATACGATTTTTTCCCTTTAAGAAATATTTTAATTATTTTATCAATAAGAAAATCATATTAAAAATATTTAACAGTTATCATTTTATTATTAATATAATATAAATTTATATTACTGTCAATAAATGCTATATAGGATTAATTTATTAAATACAATAAATAATTTTGCTAAAGAATAATCAGAATACATCTAACAAATAAATTATTACACTATACTAATTTATTTTACTTTATAAATGTTATTTTGATAATTGTGTATCATCATATATAATTTTCTATTATATTTATAGTTACAATTTTGCAATACATTAGACTCGTGATTAACCAGCTTAATGTAATGGATGGCCAAGCCAGTTAATACATATATTGAAAATAAAGCATTTCCTGTGCAGTCAAGCACATTAGTGCATCCATATGTGGTTTATTTTTCAGCTGTAATTTTTATGATACATGTGATAATGTTTTAATACAGAATTTTCAGTAAAAGTAAGCTGGTAAGACACCTGAAATTACCATAATGCATTATTCATGGAATAACTATGTTTTATGAAAATATTTGTGATCACATTTATATACAATATTTAATAATACAGTACTGTATAGTAATAAAAAGTACAAAATAATTATTATTACCTGTCATAAAGTTTTTTTCAAAAAACTTTATGACAGCTGATTATGACATCTGACCTGATCATCTATGTCATAAAGTTTTTTCAACATAGATGATCAGGCCAGATAATATGGAAGGCTGGTACAATTGACATTTACAATACAATAGAAGTCTATTGTATTGTAAATGTCAAAACAAAACAATTTGTAACTTTTTTTAATACAATTTATAAGTTATTTTCAATAACATTACAATGTTTTATATAATTTATGATTTAATTAACTTGTAGATAGATAGATTGATAAAAAGACCTATATATTGTTAAATTTGTAATTTGTAGGTTATCTTATTGTTTATGAGAATTTAATTTAATGAATTTTTAAATTACTGAAAATACTTATAATTTCTAGTCAAAGAAATTAATAATAATTTTTGTTTTATACATTTTATTTTTGTATTTTTTTTTGTATCAGATCAATAAATACTTTAACTACATTCCTAGAAAGTATTCACATAAAATTTTAAAGCTATGTTTTTATTACATTCATATAATTTCCAAAAAAATATATTACATTATACAGGGTGTAATGAGACTCTTGACAATATTTAAGGGATAGATTTTAGGGTAAAAAATGAGTTTAAAATTCTCTACAAACATTCTTCAAATTCTTCTTCATTTTCAAGAACTGCCCTTCCAAAAATTAATTTTAAACTTCCCACCAAAAGGATACTTCTATATTTTCCACTTCTGTATTACCAATACATACAAACTGAAATGTTATTTTAAATGTTGAAAATGTTTTTGAATGTATAGAAGCTGAACTGCTCAAAATATCCTCTGCCAATACAGATGCTATTTTTAACAGTTCTTGTTAATTATTCTATTTAATTTGGTAAAAAACAAAATGTGTTTCAAAGTAACTTTACATTAAAAACTACAACTGCTTTTCCAATTAATCTTTCAGGTTTTCCAACTATTTCTTTTTAATGTAAGACAGATGGATACTGAAAAATCTTAAAATAGATAAGGTTTCATTTAAATTTATTACAAAGATCCTACTTGGGAAACATTTACTTACCTCAGTCAATTGACAGAAGCTTTAAAAAACAGAAAATTACTTAAAAGAGTTGACAACTCAAGTGTTGGTATTATGGCAAGAAATTTGAAAAGTGTCTGTTTTGGTAGGCTATATCTCAAAAACAAAGATTTTGAAAAACATTTATATAGGATTTTAAGCTTATTCTTAAAACTAGAATCTATCCCTAAAATACTGACACAAAGTTTCATTACACCTTGCATATGATAAATACAGTAATACCTTGACTTATGCAATTTTCAAATCTCGTCGATTCATCTTTTGTTTGAGCACCACAGAATTCTTGGTTACTCACTCCTCCCACACTATTGTTTGGCTTACATTTTCGGACATGTCATGCGGAATCGACACATAGCTAAAATTTATTTTGTGTTATTTATTTCTGTGTTTGTTATATCTACAGAGACATGAGAGACTCTATGTGATGATTTCTTGTAACCGTGAATGAATCAAAAGACGAGATAAGATTTATGAGAACATTTCTTAGCTTACATACATCCGACTTGAATTTTACACAAATTGCAAAATTATTCCCCAACTTACATGATTATTGCTCAGTCCCACCTATTGTGTAAGTTCAGGGTATTACTGTATTATACCTACATTTTATTAGCATAAATGATAAACAATTACAAATACAGATTAACATTTATAATCATATTTACAATCTAGAATCAAGAAAAATGAGCTACTTATTAATCAATTCATATTCATTTGCATAAATTTAATCAAATAAATAAATAAATTATAATTAATGGTTAATTTCTGATTGACTTTTTATTATGGAATTGTTAATATAGATGTTGGACAGGAACATGACACCTTGTTTCTCAATTCTAAGAATATTTTTTCTACCCATTTTTACTTTTCTGAATTAGAAATATATGTAAAATCGATAGCATCTTACATTTCCAACCTAAAACAATGATCAACAGTCACAAACCACAAGACTTCTTGCTATTCATCACTACTTTTTTATGACAATGTTTAAATGAAATCTATAGAAACTATATCAAGTATTAACTAAATTATATGCCTAGTCTAATTTTTATATGAAAAAACTAACTTAATACACAATCCTTAAGTCATTAGAATATGTATTTTAAATAATGTCTTATCTTAGATCAAAATAAATATGATTCAGCATAAGTATTATTGTAAAATGGTCACTATTTAAAAATTTAAATCAAACATTAATAACAGTCAAAATTTTAAAAATTATTTTCTCATCTTGTGTTAAAAATAGAATGAAAATGGGAATGATCTCCTGCATATATTACAAATTATGGATCAGAATCATATTTGAGCCTGACTACAATAGGCCTTTTCATGTAATCATCTAGGTGATTATTTTCTTTAGTAAATTAATTTTAAAACAATTTTCTTACAACAATGCATTAATTTTTTCCATTTTCAAAAACTAAAAATGTTAAAATTTTGTAAGATTAGTGTGAGATCCACAGGTTAATTAAATTAATTAATATAAAATATTATAAAATATTCTATTTCATTGATAAAATTTTAAACAAAAAGGATGTAACATTCGTCGTTCTTGGAGAGAAGGGAAGTTGAACTTCCTTTTAGATGGCCGACTTGCGTGATGAATCAGATACGGCCTTTGCACACACTACTGGACCACCCGAGAGAGCCAGAGAAGTTCCTATAAAAAGGGGAATTTTCCTGCCATTCGAAGGAAGATTGCCATAAGAATTTAGGTGCAGTTCCCCGATGATAGCGAATGTGCCACATATAACCTGGCCACATAAGTGTTGATCTCCGAAATAAGATCACCATTTATAACTAAGGACCATCTATCATAAAAATTGAAGGTGCCATATAGACAACAGAAAGTGATAGATGATTTATTCTCCCGATCCACATTATCCAATAGAAGATTACAACTATGAATACTACATGAATTGAGGTAGTATATGTTAGAGTTATGTAAACTCTCTCTCACAGGCATAGATTAGATTAACATATATTTAATCTCTCAGTATGTTGTATTTTCATTGTAATTGTTTCATTAACATTTATTAAATATTGTTGATGTTGTTTTTTAATTGGTCTAGTTAATTAGTCTCCATTCATATAGAGAAGTAGATCCTCCTATGATTTATAAGGATGTCATCACTCGATCATCACATATATCTATATATAGAAGTAAACGCGAGTTCTAATTATCCTAGCTGGTGTATCCCGTGTATTCTAATTATCCTAGCTGGTGTCAGTCCTGATGTAGGAGACTGTGATTTTACAATCATTTAGTCTTCGTGTCTTTTTAACACTTGTAGAAAAGCCATCATTCGATGATAGGGCTAGTCCAACAGACTAGAAACCAATTAAGTGATAGAGAGTATATTCAAGACCCTCTACCCCCAGCCAGAACCTCACATTAGTAGATTTGAAATATAAGTTTTGTAATATAATTAATATGATGACAACTACTAATTAATAAAGAAATTTTATTAAGTAAAAATAATAAATAGAAATAAAATTAAACATTCTCAATCTTTGTCTAATATCAATAATTACTTTAAGCTTATGTTAAATTAACTTTTATATACATTTTTCTTCTATTATACAAACACTTATATTTTATTTGAAACCCCTTAAGTTGCTAAATCTTTTTTATCTGACTAGTTTCTGTTATGATAGAATTTGGTTTTCAGTGAAGATAACATTTCAGTTTTAAAATATTTCTGTAGAATAATGATTATATTTTTATAATTATCATTCCACAAAACTATCAGACTAATTTTTCAAAAGTAGCAATTTTATTCAATTCATTATTTTACAAAATAATGTTTAAAAAAAATACATACTTCTGATCCTCGAAATGCATCAACTCCAGATGACAACTTTTGCCTTAATTGACTAATTATTTGTTTATTATTCTGAATCTGTAATAAATAATTTATTAATTAATAATATAAAATTTTTTTAAACTCAAACAGAATAACACCTTTTAAATGTTTCATTACATTAAGATAAATTATTAATAAAGTAAAACTTGTCTAAAATGGAATCTACAAAATAATATCTGCCTAAACAGAAATAATCTCAGAATAGAATGATTTGTTATATAAAATACTACTGTAAGCCAGAAAACTATCCAACATGGAAATGGAAGACTTTGGGTACTAACTAAATAACATAACCCAAGTAAAGTTGAATCTTTTTTAATATACAGTAGCTATTTCTATATCATAATTAATGCTGTAGCTTGTTGGCTCAAATCATAGTTGACTTCTCAGTGACAAATTATGCTATATCACTTTTTTCATTGTCTGACTCTGTAATAATGCAATACTGCTGTTTCTCCCCAACTCTCTAGAAAATTTAACTTGTTCACTAGGAATAACAAATATTTAAAAAATGCATGCTATTTTTGGGTAAAAAGTCATATGTAATAATAATCTAAAAAAGTAGTTATTCAATGTTTAACTTCCTTTTTTTTTTTTTGTAAATAAAAGATTTACAAATGATTATGACAAAACATTTCCACTCTCTCCATATCAACTAGAAAATAGAGGCAACAGTGCAGAACAACTATCAAAATTCTTAGAAATAATCAAAATTAAGTATAATATCACCATCAATGAAAGTAACCAAAATTAATTTCTAACAGCAATAATCTTCATTGACAATATAAGAATAAATTTTAAATAAAAACTGAAAATTTCTGCATTAGTATAATTTAAACCCATTCTGTGGTGTATAGAAGGAAAGAATCTATGTAAAAATCCAGTTTCCATTGCAGATACTGGATTTTTATACAAATTCTTTCCTTTTATACATTACATGTACATATTTGTATTTTTTTCAGCATTTCTTTGAAACATAAAGCACTTACATTGAAAGAGAAGCAGTTCTAAATGAATTGTAGCATTTTTTTAAACTTTTTCATTTTCTAAATTGATAAAAATATAACCCCCTAAAAAACAGAAACCTGACTAAACAGAAAATTCTAGTGAGTATCATCACATTCAATTTTAGATTGGTTTTATTTTTTTGTTGTATAATCAACAATTTAAAATTTCAACTAATGTGAAATTTTATTTAAAAAGTTTTAAGCATGGGATCAGTTAATCATTTATCAAATTAAATATAGCTTATCAAACAAAAACAATTTTGATTAATTAATTAATTTGTTAATATACATATAGTATATCAATATTCATATATGTCACATCATCCCAATTTTCAATTTTAATGTTTACATTTTTCTCTTTCTCTCTTTTTTTTCTTTTGCTTTCTTTTTAATATTTTAAAAATAGTTTCACACATTTCACATTATTTTACAGACTTTATCTCTTAGTTTCAAAAATGAGTATGGAGTCAATCAGAACTTTAGCAAAAATGAATGGAAATAGAGTCAATAAAAAATATACCAACTTCAACATAAACTTACAGTGGAACCTCGCTTAACAAGCATAATTTGTTCCAGAATCTTACTCGTAATGCAAAATACTCATTAAGCAAAACAATTTTTCCCATATTAATTAATTAATGTAAAATATGATAATGCATTCCTGCTGAAAAAATACTGAAATATTTTATGTATAATGTTTATTCAAAGAAAATTATACAATATACATTGTTAAGGAGCGTGAATCATCATAATCTTTTCTTCTAGCACAAAATGAGCCAACCTGAAATGCAAATTTTATTTTCAGAAAACAAAACAAAAAAAATTGAAATTTGAAATTTAATTTGGAATTGGTTATTAAATTTAATAAGAGATGGCAGCATAACTGCCTACTTCCAGTCAAATTATTTAATTTGTAATATTTAATTACAGCCTTTACATAGCCCAAGAATTTGGCATATTGTTTGACATGTTTATATGTACAGTCGACCCCCGTATAAGTTCATTGATTATTCCGTTTTATATGAATTCCATGTTGTACGAGTCACTTAAATTTTACAAATACGTGAGCCGTTCACAGCCCGGTACATGTATTTGTAAAATCTAAGTGACTTGTACAACATGGAATTCATATAAAACGGAATAATCAATGATCTTATAGGGGGGTCGACTGTAATGGCTATGGTTATTGATGTTTATACATAATATGTGTGAACACAAGTTTGGAAAAATGTGTGATCACAAGCGACACTAAGATGCTAGCAGAACAAGTGCTAAACACAAACTGATGTAGCATGTGCACAATCCAGGACTTCCCCTTTTCTCATCGCTCATTAAGCGAGTCTTTTCTTACAAATTGTTTTGCTCATTATGCTAATTACTCATTATGAGAGGTGCTCATTAAACAAGGTTCCACTGTATTCTTAAATTACAGGCTTAAATATAAGTCTAAAAAAAAATAACCTGATGATTTACATGATCTTAAGGAAATGTCTTATGATATCATTTACTATTTTGATAGATTTATGAAGATTTACGATTATTAGCACATATTGAGCTTTTCTGAAGAAGTCAGAGTCAGAAATTTAAAAATCAAAGAGCCATTGCATATTTTATGAATTTTTTCATAATAAAATACTTACCTGACGTTTCAAAGAAACAATCTCGGCATCCTTCTTTCGGAGAATATTGTCACCATGACCTTGTGGTCCTGTGGCAACATCGACAAGGTCATCGTAATTCAAAAACATTCCTCGGGGAGGTTTTCTTCTATTTTTAGCGGGATTATGACGAGCAGAAGTCGATTCATGCTTCTTAAAAGTTCCTCCTGTTCTATTTAAACCTGTACGTCTTTTAGGATAAAAAATTTCTCATTTAATATATACATATAAACTATATGCAATAGCAATTATTTTGCTAAAAATTTTACCTCCAGTAATGATAGCAAGAACTGCATAGATTCCCTGTAGCAGTAAGAGTTAAATGGGATGAAGGTTTTTTACAAGTGGAACAAGACTGCTTTGTCATATTATGTCCCTTTTGCTATAAAAAAAAAAGCAGTTTTTCAAACAATATAATAATTCTTTCAAGTCAATTTATTGCTTAGAACACATTCTTTTAATCATTAGAGATTATAATAAATATATAAATTACAAGTTTGTTTATTATAATTAAAAGATTTTGCTTTGCGAAATCATTTAACTTTTTATTACTTTAGGAAATAAAGTAATAAAATGAAAATGAAAAATTATTTTTAATTTAGAGGAAATTTAATATTTTATCAATATTGTAAAGATTTCATACAATTTAGAAATAATTATGAACAGAAATTACAATTTTTATCACATTACATTTAAAGATATAGAGAATATTGAAATCCTAAAAATAGTGATGCCTCGTATAACGTACTTAATCCGTTCCAGGTGCACGTCCGTTAAGTGAAAAGTCCGTTATACGAAACGCATTTTCCCATAGAAATACATGTTAAAACATATAATTCGTTCCGCAACATAAAATAACCGTACTGTACCATGAAAAAAATGAAAATGGAGCAGTTACCAATTATGCCGGGTAGTCAGATGTTGTGAGGAGGAGGTGGAGGAACACTTACTTCATACATTCATACAGATACAGACTTTTTACACATTGCAGCAGGTCTCTTTTTATTGTTTTTTAATCGGAGTCAGATTCAGGAGAGGCTACCGGAGCTTGCAGGGTCAACTCCTCTTGTTCCATCCTTTGTTTTTTGGCAGCTGGCTTCTTGAAAAACATGTCCAAGGTGGTCTGTTTCTCTCTCTTCTTCAACACCTGTCGGAAATGACGGGCAAGGGTGTCATTGTAGAGATCATTGATCCTGTTGGCCTCAGCTCTGTTTGGATAATGAGTGTTGGTAAACTCCTGAACCTCTCCCCATTTGACAAGGAAGTTTTTGTCAACTTTCACTCCTTCTGATGATTTCTTGCTTTGTTTCAATTGAAATCACCTTTCTGTTTTTTTAGAAGCCATGATTTGCACAACACTTGAATAGATCTAAATACCCCTGCACTGAGGTGATGTACGTAATAAACAAGGGAGCAATCCGAATCCCAACGGGACCTCTGTACTTCAGATATACTAATAATATATTCTAATAATACTAATATATTATAAAAATAGCAGATTGTCATTGGCAACGGCAAAAGTGTGGAAACATCATTCGCACTTGTTTGCAGAAAGACCGTTATTCGCCTCACGTAACTGCCGAACGAAAAGTCCGTTGTTCGCAGCCAGTCCGTTGCTTGAGTCACGTAACGGCCAAACAGAAAGTCCGTTATTTGCAGCGTCCGTTATTCGAGGCGTACGTTATACAAGGCACTACTGTAACTAAATGACAGTGAACTTAAAATTTTAGAGATTTCAATATTCTCTATATCTTTAAATGTAATGTGATAAAAATTGTAATTTCTGTTCATAATTACTTCTAAATTGTATGAAACCTTTACAATATTGATAAAATATTATATTTAAATATTAATATAAAATATATATATATACTTATTTTTTTATTTGCAAAATTTGCTGTTTAACACATAATATGAGTTTACACTATTTCAGATCTGACTGATTTATGATGCATATAGACAAGTAACTTGAGACAAATTCACACAAGTGACTTTCATATACACTACTAGCAACTGATTATCATCTGCCTTCTCGGAGTTTTTATAAAACTGTTTGCACTCTCAGTAACTAATACTTGTGACAGTGCTATTTGTTGAGTGTAGAGTACTTGAATATTTTTCACTGTATTACACCACAACAGCATTAGTAAATTTGTATTACAGTGACATTGTTATCAATAGTTCCAAGTGACAATTATAATAAAAAAAAAATAAGAGAAATCAAGTTTATTACATAAGAAATTGATATTAAGAGAGGATTGTAGAATGTTAAAAAAGGATTATGATGATATTAAGATGTGAATATTAAGAGAAGATTATGTATAGTAATTTGCTCAATGAGCTAAAAATTGAAGATGCATAACAATTTAAAATCTTTATTCAATTACAATTTTTATCACACATCTGCATTATAAATGGTTGCAAAAAAATATAGCCAAGTGAATATAAAAAATTTATTTGTCCAAAAATCACTTTTCTGTTTTCATTTTCTTCACTTCCTGCATAAACTGGCTCCTTAGATTATGTAATTTTTGTGAAATTTCATTGCTATCAGTATTAAGTTTTGTTGTAATTAATTTTAATGTTTCTTGTTTTTATTTTGATTTCTATAACATGTAAGAACACATATCCCACAAGAACAGTTTTTCTTCATACAGAGATATTTTATATCTAAATTTTTATTTAGCATTTTTAATATTAAAAAATAATGAAGACTAAATTTCTAACCAATTAAAAAGACATTTCTTCAAATTTAGGAGTTAAAAATTTTAATATTGTAATCAATGTTTAGATTATTGTTTGTCATAATATTCTAAATCTATAGCTTTCAAATGATAAATAGCAAATTCAAAACAATTTCTCTGAATAAAACTAGGCAAGAAAATAATAGTTTAATTCAAACAACCATCAGACTACATCAGGCTACTTTTCTGAAATTATATTTAATTAATTACTAAATAATTTGTCACTAGAGGGAGGCATCGTGTGCTGTCTCTTATTAAATTTAATAATTATAATTGTCAAATTAAAGTATATTACGTAGCCTGATGTTTGTTTGGCTCAACCCCAGCATGGTATGTATATATATACACACACACACACACCATGCTGGAGTTGAGTAATGGCTGGCTGAGTGCCAGGAGTAGGAGTTTATAGGACAAGGGCACTGAAGGAATTTCCAGTCAGCACCATATGTCCCAAGGATGGTTATATCATATTTAAATATGTCTGGAATAGGAGATTGGACTGAGGCTCAAGTAACATAACTGGCAACACATCTGCATATTAAGTAGGAGTTGTGGGGTTTGAGTCTCACTCTAGACCAATTCTTTTCTTCCAAAATATTCTAAATTATTTAATAAATATTAATTTAATTATAATTATTAAATTTAATAAGAGATGGCACCTAACTCCTTTCTCTAGTGACAAATTGTTTAGTAATCAATTAAATATAATTGCAGAAAAGTAGCCTGATGTAGCCTGGTGATTGTTTGACTTTACAAATTTATCAGATTTTGTGATATTTGTTTATGTATAAATAGTAAGAGCAAAGTAGTATAAGCTAAAATATAATGCATTAGAAACAATAGACAACAAATTTTGAAAAATTTTATTAACTTATTTATTGTAATTTGATATATGAAATGAAACATAAATAACTTACAGCATCTTTATTCGTTGATTCAAAATCACTATCATTTTCAGAACCAGCTTCTGACCCACTATCACTAAATAAAAATAATTATAAATCATAAATAAGTTAATAATTTTTAAATACTTTTATTATATAGTAAAATAAAAACTTTGTAAACATTTTTTACAGAACACAAGTTATTTAGGAGACAATAAAACCTACATAAATTATCTTGACAATAAAATAACAAAGACACTAATGAGTTGATACTAAATTAAAATATAGTAATGTTCTAAAGCATGATTTTTATGCCAATTTAAGTTAGTTATCTCACTGAAATAGTTTCAAGTTAATAAAAACATTTTAACTACACCATCTAAGTCAGGAGTAATTATGAATCTCTATAATTTAAAACTTCAAATTAAATCATAAATTTCACATGAAAATTTTTCTAAAATATTTTAATTAAATTAATTTATAAAATTTTTGAATGTAAAAAAAGTTAATAAATTATACTCATATTCTTTACTTTGATAATACTTTCATATTTAACATAGTAAAAAATAATAATAATAATAATAATTTTTTTTTTCATTTTCCTTTATTCTAAGCACTAATAATTTTACACTGTCCAAAAGGCAACTCTAATTGTAATATGAAAAAAAATTAGTACAAGTTTTTACTATGAAAGTCACTTAATAGCAATTTATTTTTTAATTCTAAAAAATGCAAATAAAAATATTTAAAATAATTTAAAATACATTCTTCTATATAATAGAAGAATAAATTTGTCTTTAAAGTAATTTAATATCTATTCTGAATGTTCTATACCTAAATTCTTATGAATATTTTGTAAATTATTTAGATACGGGGNAATTTGTTTATTTTTGACTAAGTTGTATATTTCATTAGAATTATTTCCTTGATTTTTAAATTTTACCAATATTTGAAAGAATTAGAGACATATGTGATAGATTATGTATTATGTTGGCCTCAGATAATAATAAATATAAAAATACAAGTTTTAATAACAAAACAAATGAACTATTAATAGAATATTAAACTATGAATCTGAAACATTTTGCATTTTTATTTAAACAAATAAAAAATTTTTAAATTATCACTCAGCTCCATATCCGATATGCCATATAAATGTATAGAATTAATGAATACAATATCATATAACAAAATTAATTAAAAAGGAAGAAATCATAAGAAGTGATGACAAAAATGTAATATTCAGAATTATGTAAGTTCATCTCTTTCATTACAATAATTTCTAACAATACTATATGAAGAATAATACTTAAAAGAATCATTAAACTATGGAAGTTATGAAGGAAAACAAAGACAGTACAGGGTGATTATAATTAAAGTTCTGATTTCACAATAGTCTGAAATAAGAATCATTGGTCAAAATGACTTTACATTTTGTGTTCTGACCAGTAGCTTTTATTTCAGATCATTGTGAAATCAGAACTTGAATTATAATTACCCTGTATTTTGAATCTGGATAAAGCAAGAACCCAAGAGTAGTTAAGACTTTATAAAAATTGAATTTTAAATATGTTCAATTGCAAGACTAATAATAATAAAAATAAAAGACTAATCTCTATTACTCTTTCATCCTCCATTAACAAAAATAAGTCAATCTCATGGTGGATATTAAATGGAAACAATAAAATATCAGAAACACAGTTCAGTTTCTTTCATTAAAAATATTTAAAGAATTTATAATTAATAATTAAACAAATATTTATCCACATTGTTATCAAGAATTGAAATACATTTGCAAGAAATGATTATTTTGTTGGAACTCATGTTCTTCCATCTTATTTAGCAGTAATGAATTTATGAATTATACAATGTTTGGAAGACTTTATTAGAGAACTCTTATGAATAACTTTATGATATGAAGCAAATTCAGCATTTGTCATTATAATATATTAAATCAACCAACTTAACAACTGCTACTCACTATAAAGTAACTAATTTTGAATTACTGTACTTTGTTCTGGATCTACAAAGGTTATTTAAGCTATGTTTACTAAATCAGCTAATTCTTTGAAATTCAATACTTTTTTTAATAAAAACATGTCTTATTAAAATGCTAATAATAAAGTATGCTTCTGAACAGAATTTACAGAGTATTATTACTATATATATTAAAGTTTATATCTTATTTCCAAAAATCCTAAATTTACAATATACAATTATCTTTTGATGTTACTAACAGATTAATAGTATCTGTTCTTTTAGCTTTTCTTTTATGCTAATAATTATATTATATTACATAAAACTTCAATATTAATTCTAATAATAAGTTATACAAAATTCCATCAAAAAATATTATTATTAGTACAGTATTAAGAAAAAATTAATTTATTCCAAACGTAAAATATATTAACTTATGAATGCAATGTATTTTCAAGAAAATCTTTTAGACATTAGACACACTCAAAAAGGTCTCTCATTATGGTTGAGTGACCTTTTTAAGTGTGTGTACCAAAATGACAAAATCTATAATGCAAAATTTTCTTATGTGCTAACTGAAATTTTTGACAGCATATTATTATTTAACATCTCTTAACTATTGAGAGAATCTTTTTAAATATTCAAAAATCTACATATACAGGTATACCTTACGTTGGTAATTGGTCCAGGACATGCGAAAGTCGAAAAACGACACAAGTCGAATTTACTTGTCTCCGAATTTACTCGTCACTAGGCTAAACCACAAACAACCATTTCCAGTTCTGTATTTTATTTATAAATGCATTTTTTATAATATGTGGTTAATAAGAATCTATTTTAAGCTTACAAACAAATAAATTTTAGTTTTTAATATTGTACAGAAAAAAGTAATCTAAATTTACGAATTCATGTATGTACAGTACATACTTGTAAATGTACATGTTTACAATTTGGCGATGTTTACAGTACATCGTGGACTTTATTTGTGAATGTGGTTTGTTCTAATACATTACAAAATAAAATGATTTTGTAAGGTTAAATAACAAATACAGTTATTAAAATTATCTTGCGACAGTAGAAAATAAACTAATTTATATTAAATTTACCAATATCGAGTGGCGCTGACAATGATGCCAAATGGTAGATATTGGAGCCACCGTGGAAATCACCAATATTGAGCACTTAAAGATCGCTAAATAAGACAACACAGAAACACAGATGTTTTCATGTTTCATTCTCTAGGATTTATGATGATTATATTAACATTTACTGTAAATGTACATATTTTAATATGATTTTACATGCTTTAACGCTTTTCTAGTGTTATTACGACTCCAATATTTGTGGCAGATGGTTGTAAAGTTGAATAAAATGACTTAAACTTGATTTTTATTTTTCCATATATTTTTTGACAAATGACGTACAGTAATACCCCGACTTACACGAACCCGGAGTTACACAATTTTCAAATCTCGTCGATTCGTCTTTTGTTTGAGCGCCACGTAATCCTCGATTACTTATTCCCCCCACACTATTGTTCAGCTTACATGTTCGGATGTGTCGTGCGGAATCCACACATAGCTACAATTTATTTTGTGTTATTTATTTCTGTGTTTGTTATATCTACGGAGACTCGAGAGACTCTACTATGTCATCCAAACGAAGTAGAACTAATTCTTCTGCATCAAACAAGAAAAGAAAAACTTTATCTTTGGAATGTAAAGTTAACATTGGGTATGTTCGTAAAGTCGAACGAGTTAAGCGAGAATGAAGTCATCGTTATTCCTATTTCGTTAGACTTTTCGAACGATTCGTTACTAACGCGTTTAACTCGTTTGACTTTACGAACGTACCCATTATTAAAGACTTCGATACAAAAATGAAAATTTGTGAATTGGCAAAGAAGTTTGATCTACCGGAATTGTCGGTCAGAACAATTATAAAAGGCAAAGAAAAAATTCTCGAAGCTGTGAAAAATGCTCAATCTTTAAATTCAAGCATCATTCGTAAACGTCACAGTATTATCGCTGAGATGGAAACAATGTTAAAATTATGGCGTAATAATCAAGTAAATGTGAAAAATTGTAAAATAATATAGGCCTAATTTGTTATACATATGTATTATCTAAGATTTTATTAAACATTTTTTTTCTAAATTATTGTTTTCTTTAGTCTCCGGCCCCAATTAAAAATTATTTGTATGTATTTATATGCGAAATTATACCCCGACTTACGCGAATTCGACTTACACGGTTACCGCTCGGTCCCACCTATCGCATAAGTTCGGGGTATTACTGTATAATCGAGAATGACGTAACTCGAGGTATACCTGTATGCATACTTTAGAAATCTGATAAATTTGTTATGTAACACAAAATATATAAAAAGATAACATATATTTATTTTTTAAGATGAGCTCTGGGTTGCATGCCAGAAAAAGTCATTGATGTCACATATGGCATGCATGCCAACAGTTGCCACCCTTCCATTAAATTAATTAGATTTTTTCTTATCTGGAATGCTTCAAGTGAAAACTATAAAAATATTGATACATAATTATATTGAAGGAACCATTTCAAATTTTAATTACTTCATGCTTTATTTTAATATTATCAATATTTCATAGTTATGTGCTCAGAACATAAATCTGATTCAGAATTACAAAATAAGACATTTCTTGAATGTCATATTTAATTGCATTTATGAGAGCTTAAAAATTCTTCCAATTATATTATATGATTAATCATAATTTTGCTTTTTCTATTATTGTTTAGTATTCAATATATCAATAAGTAATAAAGCAAGTAATATTAGTGTCATAGCAAGAAAATTGAGTAGTATAATATATATCATACACCTTTAAGATATCAAAGTTCAAATATTTACAATCATAATTTCAACAAATCCTTATTCAAGTTTCTAATAACATTTTTTCTTTACTAAACACACTTCATCAATCACTGTTCTATAGAAAAATGCAAAAAGATAATTACAAATTGCAACATATATTTATGACCATAAAAAGACATTTTAGTTATTCAGGCTGCATAATTAATCATAAAAAACAAAATGAAATAAAATTATTGTATAAAAACACACACTTTATGTCATCCTCAATTCATTTGCAATTTCATACATACAAAGTTTTGTCTTTAAAAGACTGAACAATATGTTGAAATTATTTTATTAGCACAATAGCATTACACGAATTGCATTAAAACAATTTCACTTGTATGTGGATGATGACTAGTTTTTAAGAATAAGTAATGGAAGATATTTAAGCAAAAAATCATGATGCAATAATGAATGAACACAAAGTAATAGTGCACAAAATGAAATGTAACTTTAGGATAAGCTTTAAATACTATCCATAAGATCATATGAAATATTCCATGGTAGAATTCTCTTTATAAATTTAATAAATGATTGTCATTTGAACATTCTTCAAGCAAATAATGCAAATTCCATTTCTACATTTATGTTAACTTACACAAATGCAGAATTTAAGCAAATAAAACTTCTCTTATAAACAGATTTTGTTACATTTACTAAAAGTAACAATTTAGTCTGACTTAAAACCAAGTTTTATTGCTAATCTACTTCTTTTAAAAAATTATTTTCATGTTATGCTAATATCCAACACTATAAGCCAATTTAATGATACAGCTTAAAAAACATTTTAAAATAATTGGCATAATATAGAGAAATTAAAACCTGTTTTTAATCTTTGTAATCATTAATTATGAAAATAATTAATTCTGCTTCCTCTACCAAATCACTTGCTCATTTCTATATTTTTCATTCTGATAAAAATTAATAATTCTTCCTTAATCTTCTTGAAAATCTTTGCATACTTAAGGATTTTTTTCAGTCAAATTACAGTAGAGCCTCGAAAACTCGGCACTCGATAACCCAGCACTCTGGATAACTCAGCCACACCCTGGCAGGGCAAAAAAATCCTTAGTTAATTAATTTTCATGATAAAGACAGCTTTATGCCTCATAAAGTATTTTTCTGAGGTCTGTCTTATCAGGTAAATTACTGTACACAGTGTATTCATTAATTTTCATTTTCATGTAGTAAAGGCTCTATGCCTTCATAAAAGACGTACTTTTCCTTTGTTTAAGGGCATTTGGGCAGTTTATTCTCTGCTGTATTCTCAAGTAAACAATACATACAAGTACAGTACAGTATTTTCTGAGGAAACACTCATACTTATTTTTTTTAACCCCATTCCCAATAACCCAGCATTTTCACAAACTCGGCCACCCTTTGGTCCACATTAGGCTGAGTTTTCAAGGCTCTACTGTAATATAATTTTAAATAAATAAATAAAATAATAATAAATACAATAGCAAATACAAATAACAAAAAATAAAAGTTTTCCATAATATAATACCATATCAAAAAGAAATTATGATTATCTGTTTAATAATAACATAAATCAGGAATGATAAAAGACAAATCTCTTTTGCACCATTTCACTCTGTTTTTGTTATCAGTTATAACCAATATAATTCATAATTTTAAAATGTTGCAAAATATATATTTTGATGTCTATTCAATTTTGATAACAAAATGTTTACTATTAAAAAACTTTTTCATTGTCATTATACTGTTATTTGAGAATATAAAGTAATGCATTGTATCATCTTACAGAATTAAATCTTATAGTGTAAAAAATATTAAAATAATATATCCAGTCTTCAGAATAAAATTTTGGGTCAAATGTTTGCAATAAAAGTAATGACATTTTTTATTATTAAATAAAGTCTAAAATACAAAATAATGTAACATATCTAGTGTAAATCCATGCCAATACTATTGATATTGTTCCTTATTAAGTTCATTATATCCTTAGGATATCCAGGAATAGTCAGCAATAAACACATAATTGATAAAATTTAACTTTGAATAAATTGAAATACAAATATTGTATATGTTCAAATAAATTGAAATCATTAAGGACACAGTCAATATTGAAAGTATAATCTAAATCTATAAGTATATTCAAAAAATTTAAAATTATTCAAATCTTGATCTATTGGTATAGTTCTAGATATATTTAAAACTCCCATTGAAATGAAATAGTAATATGTTGGAAAAATAATTCCCATCATTTCCTTTGTTAATAAATATTTTCTAGAAAATTTGAAATTAAATTAGTTAATATAAAAAAATTAAATAAACATTAAACTATTCTTATGTTTAAAACAATACTTTCTATTTCTTATTCATTATTATTAATGCAAATTCATTACATCATAGTAATGAAAAATATAATTTAAACACTACTATTATATAACTAAATTTAAAAAATTATTGTTCTTGCATAAAACATTTATAATTTATTGTATTATTAAGAATAGTTCTCTATTCTTTTATCTTGAATTTCAAAATAGCATAGACTTATACATAATAAGAAAGTTAGCAAAATAAACTTATTCTATTATTTTAAAAACTTTAATATAATGATTTTTAAACAGAGTAATTTTCTAAAATCTAAGTTTTTTGATATTCAGACTATAAAATAAATTTTTTGAAGATTATTAAATACCTATGTGTTGATAACTTTCTTGCTTGACGGTCCATCAGACTGGTACGGCATCGTGTCTTTTTCCAAGAATAATAATATTTAACCAAACTAGCCATAGACTTATCTGGAAGCTAAAACAAAAAATTCTATAATTATTAATGTTTAAGTGGCTATTTCCAATTAAAATATTTTACTTTTTAACAATATAAGTTCTACATAATATACAACATAATGCACAATATAATAATAAAGTTTAGATAATTCATTACGATAGTAGCTAAAAGATACATTTAAATATTCTGCAGAAATGTGAATATAAAAATATATATATTAAAAAAATTTGTTTACTTTAAAATATAACAAATATTACCATATGCTTTATCCTATGAAAACTTTTTCCATAAAACTGAAATGCCTGTTCAAAAAGAACTTTGTCTTCCACAGTCCATTCATCAGGAAAGGGTACAAAATTGGGCAAATCTGCAGTTGCAGCTTCCAAATCAAATTTATGCCAAAATAGCATCCCAAGAGCCTAAAATTAAATATTGAAATAATTCAACATCTTTACAGATTTAGCATATTTTCATTATAATAAAAAAATAAATAAATAACTTACTTGTTCAGCATTATATCCATGTTTTTCTTTAGCCACAGTAATGTATTCATCCACTAAAATATAAATTTATTATTAATGAAAAAACATATGATAGCTATCAATAATACTAAAGTAAGATTAATACTGTTGCATGTAATAATGCAAAGCTAGAATGGTATTTTTTATAAATTATTAATTTAATATAAATTCTCACAATAACAAAGAATCATTTTTTTTTTATTAATTTAGAAGCAAATCTTCAAAATAATACATATTAATTAAAATATTTGGTTTTAGTTATTATGAATGTGTCATTTAATTATACATTTTATTCAACTGCAGTATCCCATCCTATAACACCTGAATACAATTTATTGCTTTTTCTAATTATTAAATTTAGTTTAATGAGAAAAAAATTATTGAGATTATGAAGACAAAAACATGGAAGAAATTTTCAGCCTAAGTTTCACAAATTCAGATATTTAATATTTTAAATGTTTTTGGAATATTTTGTTTCCAAAAATAAATTTCATCTATTGAAAAAAAGCTATATACTTGTAAAATGTTATGTATTTTTAACTAACTTAAATGTTTCATTATTTGCATTTTGTATTTTTCACTAAGGTTGTATTTTTTCACCTGTTATTTGGAGGAGTGGTAATTTTTTGTTGCCACAAATAACTTTACCTTTGTAAAATTAAATATAAAGTAAATATTATTAACACTTACATTTGCTTTCAGAAATATTATGATTTGGAGACCACACCAATAATGCTTTTTCTGGTAATCCAGAAGGACATGCTTCTAAAAGTAAATAAATAAAAAAATCTATTAATCTATTTACTAATAATCTATAATGTTAAAATTTATTAAATATATTAATTTTAGCATTAGCAATATGTAGAACAAAAACTTCAATAATTAGGTAAGTACAATATCACCCCATAAAGCAAATGTTATTTCACCAAATTAAAACAAAAGTAATTTTAAGTAAAATTTAAATATTTTTATATTTAATGCTATAATAAATGATAATCCAAAAAAAAATATGTAAATAATAATGCATAATATAAAAAATTTATTTATTTCCAATTTAAGAGTATTTAATATATTTTAAAAATAAGTTAATTATTATTGAGTGTTAATTGTACTTAATTTGATTATTATTTTTTCAATATCAATAAAATTTCATTTAAAAAGGTAATGTTACCTACCACTAGAAATAAGATCTGGAACCACAGCTTGGTATTCATCTCCAATTCTCATACCTTCAACAAAAAACATTTTTCATTAAAATTCCAATATAAAAAACTCATTAAAAATTATAATCATTTTTAATTTAATAATTTTTAAATTAAAAATGACATTATATAATTTTCTTTTTGTCTCTCATCACTCAAGGCATATAGCCTAAAAAATATTTAAATAAATAAATATTCAGATTTCTTTATGTAACTGAATCCAAGTAAAATATAATTGTTAACATTTACTTAATATAATAAATATACTAAAACACAAACTTTTATCAAAAGAGCTATTTGCCATTTATATTTTGTTCAACAGATTTATAATTTATGTTTGATATTCAAATAAGCAATTATATAAAATAAATAATATAAAATCAATGAATATATTTATTTTAAAATTTTTCTTAAATAAGTTTTCATGCCTATTTAATATAGCTATTTTTGTTCATTTAAATTTAGAATCAATAAAGAAATATATAAAATATTTAACTTATTAGCAGTTATATTTACAACTGTGCATAAAATGAATCATATGAAAATTAAATACAATAATAATATATTCAGTCATTACAAAAAAATTTTATTAAAATTAAAGCAACATATGCAAAATACAAAGGCAGTTCAATTTCTGTTTGGAATTCCAATAATGGCAACTGAATGATGTTTCATACAGTCCTAATTTATGTTTCTTTCTCCTCTACACATACTCACACTTTTCCCATTGTTTTGGCAACAATGCTATACCTGTAGAATAGAAGATTTGGATGGAGTCAGAGCACAGCCCTGCCTGCAGTGGAGGCAATCAATGAACTTGGCAGGAAAACTCTGGACTATGCAGCCTTGGTCAAAATTGGTCAGCTTGTGATCACTTGTTTGGTCTTTTAAAGAAAGCTTTTAAGAGGCAGGAGATTCACCCTGAGTGTTGAAGTCACAAAGTTTGTCATACAGTGCCTCCAAATCAGAGAAAAGATTTGCAGGTATAGCATCATTACTATAACAATGGAAAAAGTGTCAGTATCCAAAGGAGTACCTGTGGAGGGAATCAATTGTAATAATGGTTTATTTGAACTTTCTATTACCTAAATCAATTTCAAATTCAATTTGTTTTTAAAGTTAATTTTACCTTTGATGAGGATATAATACTATAAAAAATGCTATAACCATAGTAATAATTCTATCATAAAAGTATTTATTTTAATTTTTTTACATTTTACAGATTATTATTATATTCTCAATAATAAATTTTTAAAATGTCTGAATTAATTCAAGATCAAAGTTTATATTTTTTTCCAAATAGTGATTTAAATTCAAAATAAATTTTAAAGTTTAAGATATTTAAGGATTAAAAGCTATCCACTTCTGTACCTAAAAATAAAAATATAATTTTATTTGTATTCTCTTCTATGCTTCTATTATTTGTATTATTTTCTATGCTGCTTGCATAACAGAATGAAAGAATGGAAAGATCTTGAATCATGTTTTATTCATCATCAGAATAAAAGAGATTGGAGATAAATAGAGGAAATTAAGATATAATTCTTATTAAAAATGATTTACACAATCAAATTACATTGAATTACAACCAGACAGTATGAAAATAATACATTCAAACAGTTGAAATTTACAAATATCTACATACAAAACTTATATATTAAATATAAAACATTTTGTATCTAATTTAAAACTATAAATAATGTAAAACGGAATCTATGCAATCAAATCTCACAAATGAGAATTTAAACTAATCTATAAATCAAAATTACAGTTTCTTAGCATTTTTAAATACTCTTCCTAACACTTCTTAATAATAAAGTATAACTCCACTATGATTTAAAGAAGAAAATACTGCTTTTAATGAAGTATATTCTTTTGCTATAAAAGTACAAACTTAAGAAAAACTATTGCTATAGTGATTAGTTATTCTACTTATGTATTAGCAACATCATCACTATAGCAACAAATTTTTTTAAGTTTGCACTTCCATAGTGAAAGAACATTCTTCGCATTCCTGAATACAAGTAATAAGCTCAAAAACATTTGAAAAATTTTTTATAGTTATTATGCTATTAAAATTATTATATATCATTATCTGATGTATTGTATAGAAAAATATTATTTATTGCACATCATAATTGTAAACAAATACTAATAACCTTTCAATACAATATTCAGCTATGGCATTAATTTAAGAGCACTGTTAACTATTCCATAGTATATAAAAACTTCCATATTCAAATCCATAAATTGTTGCTAACAGAATTTTATGAAATAATATAAAATTATACTACAGAAAATTACAAATGAAAGTAATCCTTTCTCCAAATTATTTTGGAGAAATATTAACTTTAAATGTGCTCTACATTAAAATTCATTGCTTTTTAAAATTTGAGAAAATTTAAATTTCAAAATTTTTAAAATTTGTTTCTTGCATGTATAAAATGAATTTCTGAAATATATAAGTTGATATTGGATAATTTGGATATTTACAGAAAAATTAAAGCAATTGAAAAATAAAATCTTTTTAATAAGTATTCCTAAAAAGAAAATTATCTTCTAAAAGGTAAATAATTGGATACACACTTAACAAATACAACTGATAAGATTTTTGCTAAGTTTACAAACTGTATTTACTTGTTACTAGAAGAAAATATAATTTACAAAACTTAACATACTTAATTTAAAAAACTTAAAATAAGTTAAAATAATAATATCCAATAACAAAAAATAGGAGACATCAAATAACTAAAATTTTAATTACATTTCTACTAAATATTTTAAATTAACAAAAAATATACCTAACATGTTAAATAGTTCAATATTAAAAATAAGAAATCTTTTTTCAATTATATTTTGTTAAAAATTAACAAAATATAATTGAAAAGGATCTTGTTTGTTAAAAATTACTTTAAGAAAGTAAAAAATTGAAAAGTACTTTCATTTCTTTTACTTACAAACACCAATCAATTTTTTATATTTTTTAAAAAAATTTTTAAAAAGTATCCCATGAAATCATATTTGTAGGATTATTAAATTTGTTTATTTTTGACTAAGTTGTATATTTCATTAGAATTATTTCCTTGATTTTTAAATTTTACCAATATTTGAAAGAATTAGAGACATATGTGATAGATTATGTATTATGTTGGCCTCAGATAATAATAAATATAAAAATACAAGTTTTAATAACAAAACAAATGAACTATTAATAGAATATTAAACTATGAATCTGAAACATTTTGCATTTTTATTTAAACCACTTTAATAGAATTAATTCTAATTATTATTATTTCAAAATTACATCATTAATTTATTTTGCATAATTATTTTAACAGCTGAATGTTTCACTTGAAATCTGATTCTATTAATCTGGTGTATATCAAAAACACACCAGATTAATAGAACTTATATTAGAATAAAAATTAATATATCAAAAATATTCAGAAAATTATATTAGTCATTTTAATAAAAATAGTCATTAACTTGGGTATGATTGATTATCATACTTAAGTGATTCTATCTTTTAATAACTTCAACGGACTAATATATTTTTTCTAAAATAATACATTTAATATTGGATTAATTGATTATTTAAATAACACGTTAACTATTCTGAAAAAAAAACTGATTCAGAAATTATAGTAATCATATAACGCTATCTAGAAATAATTCAATTCACAGCCTAACCTCAGATTAAAGGGCAATTTATGTAATTCTAATTTATATGATGCATTTTCAATATAAATAACCGATGCAAAATTATTTTTAGCATTCGAAAAATTTTGTGTAATTTGATTTAATTTACAATTATTAAATTCAGCGTTATGAATAAAATTTTTATTTAAAGAGAAAATTAATTATGTTAAATTAATTATTATTTTGTAAAGAAACTGAATTAAATACTTGTTTCCTTTTAAAACGTAAAAAACAAAATAAGTAAATCAAATGGCTTGTTTTCGTGCTTCTAATCAGAAATTAATTACATGGCTATTTTCTTAGAGTTAAGTAGTGTTTTGCGAAGAACATTTTGTTTATAGACAATACCAAAGACAACTATCAGCTCCCTTAACATAGGAACCCAACGAGTCAGATGATGTTCTGTTAAAATAAAATGCAAGAACACCAAAAGTCACAAAAATGATAACACACATTCCGGTTAAACGAAAACTGGTTTAGTTAAGAAAGAAAATACTACTCAGATGGGCCAAACTAGTAACAGAGACTGAGCCAAAAGCTAATTTTGGAAGGGACCAATTTTTAATTTGTATAATGAAATAAGTAATATACGTGTATAAAAGTTTTATTGCTTTAATAATTACTTCAAATAAACTGAAGTATATAAACTTACAATATAAAAATGTAGCCAAATTAAAGTTATAAAAATATTAATATATAAATATATTTTTTAAAAAATAAAATGCAGCTCATTTTAGCAATAAAAATCCCAAGATCGTTCCAATCAACACCCCACCTATATCTGCGAATGACTGACAACTAATTGAGAAATGATACAAAGATTCCTCGAAATTCACCTTCAATGTTTTCTATCTTCTAAATAATCCACCTATCCTTATCAAATCTATCAAAAAGTAAACAAACAAAAACTAAACAATAACATGTAATAAACTGTTTTAAAAAAGTAGCTCAATACAGAAAGTAGCATTTTGCAAAACTTGCAGATATGGCGGAACGATTCTCTTACTTTGGAGAGCCATTAAAAAAAGTGACAGAAGACAATGAATTGAAGTGCATTTTCTAAATATGAATTTTGCACTTCATATTTAGAAAATGCATTTAAATTTAGTACTGCAAAAATTCTGAGTAAAATTTGATTGTTTTAACATAAAACGAAATGATCTAGATGAGTGTTCCTGTTATTATAAAACCAGGGAATAGATATTGTATTAGTATAAAGCATTTAATCACCATCGTATAACAAAATTATTACTATATAGTATCTGACAAATAAGAAAAAAAATTTTTTTTCAAAATTTACATGAAAAATAAAATCAAAATTTTGATAT